AATGCTTGGATAACTTCTTGGACAAGAGTGCTCATATAAAGTACCTGAATAGGAAACTCTCTTTGTAGAGTCTTTACAGTTTTTCCCAGTAAGCATTCTTTAATAGCAAATGAAGGCAGTTCAGGCTCTGTTGGCTTAACTTGAGGAGGAGGAAGAGATTTTTCAATGAGTCTGTGAAGCCCATGGCCCAGTATGGAATTGTTGGAGGGTGATAAATTATCTGTCATTTCTCCTGGTACAGCTCACTCTCCAACCATGTTTTTTTTTTTTTTTTTTTTTTTTTTTATCACCTTCAGGCAGAAGCTGTTTTTTTTTTTTTTTTTTTTTGGTACCGGGGATCAAACTCAGGACCTTGGGCTTGCAAGGCAAGCAGTACCACCACTGAGCTAAATCCCCAGCCCTCCAACCATGTTCTTATAGTCTTCATAATCTTTGCTATCTAACAAGTTTCATTTATTCAGTTCACTAAGTTGTTCTTCAGAGGGATTAGCAGGCATACGCTTAATAGAGGTTTGTTCCTATATGGGCTTTCCATGAAAAAACAATTCCTTCCAATCATGCATCATCTTAAATGGAATCAGATTGTCAACATTTGATAGTCTGCCACTTTATCAGACAAATCAAGTATTTGATCCAAAATTTCTCCGCATATTTTATAATGCTTTCTATAGCGAGCCCGAACTCTTTCCACAGCAATCTGTTCACGAACTTCTTTCTCTCTGAGGATTTGTTCTTCAAAATCAATCTTGGCTTGTTTTGCCAAAGCCACTTCTCAATCAAGAGCATCCTGCAAATCTTTAAATCATCTTTCCTCATATTTTCTCTGAAAATTCTGTTTTGCCATAAAACTTCCTTTTCATGCCGAATGTGCATGAGCTACACAGCAATCCTGTGCTCCTGTTGGGACTGTCCCATGAGCCCATGTATCAGCTGCTCCTCACCATAAGCCTCCTCCTGTGCTACGTGGATGATGAACTGGGCCATTAACAACCTCCGCCGTCTTTTCGTCTTTTCTCTTTGCTCTCATGCAAAAGCATCTTCTTGTAGGCGCTTCTGGATTTTTTGGGGGGAGGGGGTACTGGGGATTGAACTCAGGACCTTGCACTTGAGAGGCAGGCACGGTGCCACTGAGCTAAATCCCTGGCCCCTGGATTTTTTTAATGTAGTCATCATCTGAGTAAGTGTTTAATGAGTTGGTAGTTGTATGGTCTGCTGTATCTAAACCAGTCTTGGATGCCTTTCTTTTGCCTGGAGAGATCCTTTTTTATTAATGCTTCAAACTTCATGATCTCATCAGCAGCGACATCCGCTGTCTCTTGTTGCTTTTTCATCATTTTGGGGCCCTCAAGTGCTGTCAGAGTGTGACGTGATGCAGGTTTAGGAATCTGTATGACAGCTACCTGGATTTTGGCCATGATTTCATTTTGTCTTCTTCTGTTTAAGCATTGCTTTTGGGAAGCCTCATTTTTCTTTCTTTCTTTTTTTTTTTTTTTGAAGTATTGCTCTTTTATATCTATAATACTACAACACTACTTTAATTAATGTTCATATAATTTCAAAGCTTCATAGCATAAAACTTACATGTGAATAATAATAGTTGTTTGCTACAGAATTTCTGTTCATTTATTTTAAGTTTTATATCAGATTTGGACCATGGCTCAATATATTTTTGTTTATAAAATAATTTTCACTAGTTATAACCCCTACTAGGACTATAATGTTACTAGTTTAAAGTATATATTTGGTTTCTATGCATTAGAAGTTTATTTATAAAGTTTCTCTCCAAAATGAATAATTTGATATTGAATAGAAAGATCTGATAAAAATTTTCCACATTTACAAATTCACAGTTTACCCCGCCACAACTTATATAGTGCTAAGTGAAGGCTCATGGCTTAGTTTTCTCACATTTATAGTCACACAATTTCTCACGGGCATGGATTTTCATATGTTGATTAAGGTGTGCACTCTGGCTAAAGGCTTTCCCACATGCATTACATTTGTAGGGTTTCTCTCTTGTATGTGTTCTTTCATGGTGATTAAGATGTGTCCTCTGGCTGAAGTGGGAAGCCTCACTTTTCATGTTTTGAAATCGTAAGCTTGCCAGAAACTGTGTGGAAAATGCCTTTGCAAATGGGATCTTCTAATCACGAAGAAAGCTATCTTCAATTCTGGCTGCAGATCTTCATGAGCTCAAGCCAAGCCCTACAGCTAATACCAATCAGGGGATGCTGTCTTCTGTTCTTCTGGAACTTCACGAAATCAAGCGAAGCCCTGTACCTGATACCAATCTTTTTTTTTTTTTTTTGTACCGGGGATTGAACTTGGGTCCTTGCGCTTGCAAGGCAGGCAGTAGAACCATTGAGCTAAATCCCCAGCCCCCTGATACCAATCTTCTGGCATGAGCTCTAGCCACAGCCCTCCAATTGATACTAACCAAGTTAGAGAGAGAATGGGGATGTGGATCAGTGGAGCCAGCGCCTGCCTACTAAGTACAAGGTCCTGAATTTCATCCGGAGACAGAGAGATGACGGAGAAAATGAATAGGGAAAAGGGAAAACAAGCTCCTCTGTTTCATCTTTTTTTTTTTTTTTGGTACTGGGGATCGAACTTGGGTCCTTGTGCTTGCACAGCAGGCAGTGAAACTACTGAGCTAAATCCCCGGCCCCCTGTTTCATCTTTTTTTTTTGGTATCAGGGATCGAACTTGGGTCCTTGCGCTTGTGCAGCAGGCATCCATTTCATCTTTTACGAAAGACCTTGAAGTAAATGCGACAAAATGCTAACACATTTATTTTAGTGGCAGGTACCTGGCTGCTTGTAATTCTTTCTTTGTAGATGCTTGTATTTTTAAATTTATTTTTCTTTTTTGTGTTATTAGGGATTGAAGCCATGGCTTTCCCACTGAGCTACATCCTCAGCCATTTTTCCGTATTTTATTTTATTTTGCTTTTTTGAGATAAGGTCTCCTTATGCAGTTCAGGCTGGTCTTGAATTATGTAGCCCAGGCTGGCCTCAAACTTGCAGTGATCCTTCTGTCTCAGCCTCCTGAATGCTGGGATACAGGCCTGGCTGCTCTGGGTTTTGTTTGTTTTTGGTACTGGGGATGGAACTCGGGTCCTTGAGTTTGCGTAGCAGGCGGCAAAACCACTGAGCTATAAATCCCCGGCCCTGTTTGTTTTCTTGAGACAGGATCTTGCTAAGTTCAGGGTGGCCTTGAACTCACTATGTACCCCAGGTTGGCCTCGAACTCATGACAATTTTCCTACCTCAGCCTCCTGTATGTTTTAAAATATATATATTATTGTAAGCAATTTACATTTGGCTTCCTTGTTTTGACCACATCCTGAGCACTGTATTCACACACCTATGTTATTGTTCTTCCAATCACTGCAGGATGGCCGAAAGGGGTGTTTTGTTTTGAGACAGTCTCTATAAGTAGCCCAGGCTGGCCTCAAACTCACAGAGATGCTCTTGCCTCAATCTCGCGGATGCTGGGATAACAAGCGTGCGCCACCATGCTCGCTCCTCCTATGTATTTTCTGTTTTGTTTTGTTTTTTGGTACTGGAGGTCGAACTCGGGTCCTGCTTGTGCAGGAGGCGGCGAAGCCACTGAGCTAAATTCCCAGCCCCCCTCCTATGTATTTAAATGTAATTGTGTGATGATGAGTAAATTATCAGGTTATCTGTGGGTTTGGTGGCTGAGGGCAAGACCACGCAGGGGATCTACTTGCAAGGTGATGTGCAGTCTGGGCCTCCCTGTGCCTGGCAGGTGTGCAGCAGCCTCCCTGGTCTGTAACCATTTGAGGCTGTGACACTTTAAAGATGTGACCACAACAAACTCGGACATTGCCAAGTGTCCCGGTGGTTTTGGGAGGCAAAATCCTCCGGTTAGAATTAGGGGACACTGGAGCGAAAGAAGGAGAACAATATTTGCTGTCCATAGTAATAGTATTTGGGGACCTTTACTACCTTTTCCAGTCAGTTTGGTTAATTTTTGCTTTGATGCCAGCCCAATCCCTGAGTGACCTTGGGCAAGTGACTCAGGCACTGTGACCGTCGGTATCATCTATGAAGTGGGGACAGGAAGAGGGCCCACAGCTCAGCACGTCAACATACTCTGGTGCCGTATGCGGCGCACGGACTGAGGAGCTGGACTTTACCACAGCGAAACCTACTCGCTCCCTCGGCGACCGAGCGGACTCACAGGGAAGCGCGGCTGCGCATGCGTAAACCCTACCAGCCGACCACGCTGGGCGTACACGCACCCGCACACGTGCACGTGGCTCTGTCTGCGCACGCTCCCTCCCCTCCCGCCGCGGGAGCTTGGCCAGGGTCGGCGCGGGAACTCCATTTCCCAGTGTGACGCGCGGCACGCCGGGAGTTGGGGAGGGGCAAAGTGTTCCTCACAGCAACAGAGAATACGCTGGCGTAAACTCTACCTCACGTACGCACGCACGCGCGGCGCACCCCTGGTACCGCCCCCGGAGGCCCCGTGCGGGAGCGCGCCCGGGCATGCGCAGGGCGGCGGCGCGGCGGCACGGGGACGCGCGGTGACCGTTGGCGCTGAGGGGAGGAGGTTGCAGCCGCCGCCGCCGCCGCCGCCGCTGCCGCCGCCGCCGTTGCGCAGATCCGGGCCGCGGCTGCGGGGAGGGCGACGAAGCGGGTGACCTTCCGGAGGCGGAAGCGAGCCAGGAGGCCTGGGGACGCCGAGCGCCGTCGCCGCCGCCATGAATAACTCAGGCGCTGACGAGATCGGGTGAGGACGGACTGGCGGGCCGGCCTGTGCCGCCCGCCCGGAGCCCGCGCCCCCGCCCCACCGTCTGCCCGAGACGCCGCCCCCGGGGCGGGCCAGGCCGGGCGGGGGGCCGCCCCGTCAAGGTCACGCTGCTGGGGGGGGGACGGGCGCGGCACTGGCCCGCCTCGACCCGGCGCTGGGGGGAGGGGGGCTGCAGGGCCCGCAAGCGGGAATTTTGGGTCTTTTGGCCGCCATACAGGGGCCGGGACCCTCTGGGGCCCCCATATGGGAGCCAGGGGATTGAGGGACCCCATACAGGGTGTTGGCGGACCCCTGACCGAACCCTGCCGTCTTGAGAATCCAAGTGAGAGTGTAGGAACCAGGGGGACCCCAAACCAGACTCTGAGCGTCTTAAGAGTTCAGGTCAGAGCATCAGGGTCAGCAGAACCCCAAGGCGGATCCCAGGGGTCTGGCGGACACCAGACGAGAATCTGGGCGTCTCAAGAACGCAATTCGGAGTGTAGGGGTCAGAGGAATCCCAAACGGGCGCTCAGGAGTCCGGGGTCCCTAAAAAAGGAGCTGAGCTGTCTGAAGGACCCCATGCGGGAGTCGCTGCCGGCGCCTCCCTACTTTTTCCGCGGATGAGGACCATGAATGGTGTCTTAGAAGCCCGGGCGCCCCCAGCCGGCGCCGGAACTCGGCGAGTTGGTGCACGTGGCGAGGCCGGTTGTGGATTCGAGTTCTGCATCCGTTCAGCTTCTCCCGCCTCCGGCTGCGGGGTACGGGGCACCCCGCCACCCCCGGAGTGTTAGGGACAAGGGTAATCGCACCCCCCTCTCCCCCGCAGGGCCCAAGTCCTGAGGCTTGTTTTGGTGGTGGAGCCCCGCTGTGCCTAGCCTAGTGGCTGTGTGCACCAAGGCCCAGGGCTTTCCCCTTGAGCAGCCTGGAGGAGGGGAGGCTTGTGCCCCTAAGTCTCCCCTATAATTACAGTCTTGCCTAATGCCAGCCCAGCCTAAATACAAAGGGAAGAGAGTCCCACAGGGCGGGAGACCTCATTCTACGCAGGGCCACGGGCTGCCTCCATCCCCTTGCCAGCAGCTGCACCAGCAACTGCAGCATCCTGTGCTTTGACTGTCAAATTCTTCCAGGAAGAGGCTGGAACAAGGGCTTAGCTGGGTTTCTTCCAGATCTTGTGTGAATTTCTCAGTGCCTCAGCTTTAGATTTAGTGCTCCATTTGGTGAGGAAACAGGTGCTTCCTTGGGCCAGGTCTGCTCCACTGCCCATTTGGAAGTAAAGTGCTTGTGGGGGTCCCCAGGCTACAGCATCTTCCTGTAGAGATCTGGGACAACAGGGCTTGCTTGATTCCCAGCCTGGTTGGAGCGCGCGTTGCACCCAGCACTCATTGGCTAAGTTGTGTGTGCTGAGTGGGTGACAAGTCCCAGCATTTTGGGTTAAAGGTGGGAGCCTGGGAGAATGAACCCTCTGCAGTGGTCCTGGGATTGATGGCTGTTGTGCTCGGCTCTCATGTCCAGGAAGACCAGTTTCTGCTGCCAAGAGTATGAGGTGCCCTCCCTCCTTCCCTGGGAGAGCGCAGACCTTATTTAGCTTAAGGGGAGGGAGGGAGTTCCTGGGTTCAAGGCGCTGACTAGCTTGAGCCCTTGCACCTGACAGCTTATCCCTGCTCTTGGCACTACCAAGCCGTGCAGAGAGGTGCCTGGACCTTGAGGGTTCACTGCAGCCCTGTAGAGACTAGGGCACTTGGAAAGCCATGAAGGACTTTATGGTGGCTGTGTTTTCTTCCACCTGTCACATCTACCTAGATGGGTCAAGTTTCAAAGTTCTATTATTTTCCCCTTTTTGTGGTGCAGGGGATGGAACCCAGTACTTCATGCATGCTGGTGTTCTACTACTGAGCTATACCCCCAAGCCTTAAAGTTCTGAATACTGATAACCCAGAAGTTTCTACTGCCTTATGAGTAGACGTCTTGCCAACAAGCACCCACCTGATGTAGATTTGTTTCCACCTTATGTGGGAAATCTAAGATCCACTCATGCTCTGCGAATTTGCCCTAAATGTCAGTACAGTGGTTGTGACCCTCATCCTCTGATGATGAGTCCCTGCAGTTTCCTGTGAAGAGACCACAGCTTCTGAGTGTGGTGAAGGTGACGAGAATTTTGTGCTCGGATTGAGGCCACTCTTCATAGTTAAGTGGCTGGCAGGCTGGAACTGGGATTTAATGATCTCAGGGGTCTCTGGGACACATACTCCCCTGAGGACCTTGGGCCTCCTCACTCCTGCTGCCCTCTGTGAGACCCTCCCCCAGGGCATGGTGGGCAGGAGAAGCTGTCCCTCTTCTTCTAGACACAGACAGAAGGCCAGTGTCTGTCCCTGCCCTTCAAAAAGGAAGCAAGGGGCCAGGATTTAGCTCAGTGGTTCCAGCGCATGCCTTGCAAGAGCAAGGTCCCAAGTTTAATGTCCAGTACCAAAAAATAAATAAAAAGGAAGTGAAGTGGGGTGGACTATGGTATGGGCAGGGCTCAGTCCCAGGCTCTGTGTCCCAGGAAAGTTGTGGATGTCCAGGATTGCTACCAGGAAGGTGGGCTGGGTCATCCTACCAGTGAGCTCCACTTTAGGGTTTGCACCTTTGAAGGAAGATCCTAAAAGTCAGTGAGTGGCCTGGTGGGAGAGCAGAAGGGGTTGGGGAAGAGGCATCCTGAGTTTGTTGGTGCTGTCTGCATCTTGGATTTGGAGTTGGCCTGAGTTGGGGTAGTTGGAGACTGCTGGAAGAGGCCGTTAAAGATGATGCCAGTACTAGGCGAGAAGTAGAGGTGTGGGGGCTCAGAGGCTGATGAGCAGGAAGGTGTGGGCCTGTTGTGCCTGCCTTAGCTTGGGCACTTCACCTTGGTCTCAGTGTAGGTCCCTCCCAGGCATACTCTACCAAGTTCTAAGGCCTCTGGTGAGCAGCTGCTTGGTGCCTGATGTGATGCTCCCTGGTGTTGGGTACTCATTCTTGTGTTACACATAGACAAGCTTACCTTGGGTCACCTCAGGGGGCCCAGGTCACTTTGTCCTGCTCACCTCCAAGGGAGCAGGCTGTGTCATGGGACGGGGGAGCTTGTGGACAATTTTACTGTATCTGGTACATGCAGCACTGTCTATATTACCCAGGGGAATGTAATATAGGGACACCAGGCATCTTTGAAGAAAGAGTCACAAAGGGCAGTCACAGAAAGCAGAAGTCATAGAAATGTGGTATTGGACCCCTGTGGTGTCCAACCTGCAGCTGGGCAGCCGGGATGGGTGGCTGCCAAAGTGGTTGTCAGAGTCTGCTGTTGTGACAGAATTCCTGAGCGAACTAACATAAGAACTCTGGGGTCACCCTCAGACCCACATGTGGTGGGGTGGTCTGCAGACATGGGCCTAAGGTCCTGCAGTGGATTTGGAAACAGTTTTGGAAGCAGACACCCTGGAGTTGGTCTCCACCTGCATCTGGAGTAGAGAGGGTGCGGGTATTAGTCCCTGTTTCAGGATAGAGAGCAAGGCAGAGGAGGCCCTGATTCCAGGAGGAGGCTGGGATTGGGGGAAGAGGACAGTACTTTACTTTGGTACTCTTGTGTTGTTGTAGTTTTGCAATACTCTGAGGAAAATCTCCCTGTGGGCACTGGGGCAGGGCCATCCTCTAGGGTTGTCCTGAGCAGTGTCCTTGACCTCTACCCACTCCATGCCAGGAGCATGCCCAGGGTTGGGGGCTTGCTCTAAATGAGAGCCATAGTTGGGGAACATCTTTGCTCTTTCTTCACTTTCCACATCATGAGCTGTCCCTGTGCAGGGGTTTACTGACTTTCTCTGTTTGCCTGTGTCTATCAGGGGTGTGTGTCCTGCCAAAGTGAGCAGTCATTGCTCTCCATGGCCTGGTTCTAGTGTGTGCCTATGTTTGCTCCTTGTGGGGTTTTTTTTTCTATTTTTTATTTTATTTTTATTTTGGGGGTTTTTTTTGTTTGGTACCGGGGATAGAACTTGGGACCTTGTGCTTGTGAGGCAGGCACCAGAACCACTGAGCTAAATCCCCTGCTCCTTGTGGTTTAAGGACTTATTTCCTGTGTCTGAGTCCTGTAAAACTGGCCATGAAGTTGGACCGTGCTCCTTGCCTTCCTTTGGTTTTGATGGTTTGAAGTCAGACATAGTGCTAGAGTCAGCTGCTCCCTGGAAAGGGAGCACCTCAGTGCTGCCCCCCACTTTTTTTAAGGCGCTGTGGTCTTGATGGTAACCCTTTCCCTTGCCATGAAGACTGAGGCTCAGCGGTTCAGGGGATGTGCCCAGGTCATCCAGGGAGTTGGATAAGCCAGACTGGGGAGTCCCAGGCCCTTGCTGTCCCAGCACAGAGAATGTTAGGCTTGCTGTGCTCCTCCCAGACTAAAGCTTTGGGGATTTCTTTTTTTCCATCTAGGCTCAGTCCTGTGACACCACTGTTCCTTTCAAAAGTGACACGGGTTGTGTCACTTTTGTCAGTGTCAGTCACCCTGAGAGTTGTGAGCAGTACTTTCAGGAAAGAGGCCCCTTATTGACAAATGCTTAGGGACTGAGGTTTGGCCAGAAGGACCCTGGACTGCCTGGGTGGGCAGAGTGAGGAAGATCTCTGGGTGATAGTAGTTAAACCAGAGCCAGAGAGAGGCTGAAAGGCCCTGCCTATTTATGTTCTCAAGAAGAAAAAAAAAAATTCATGACAAAAGTCAAGCTTAGTCTATTCCCTGCCTTTTGCCCTGTGAGCTAAGTCCATAAAAGAGCAGTGGCTGTGGTGGACTCTGTTGGCTTGGGGGCCCTACCTGCAGCACTCCAGGGAGGCAAAGGTTGCAAGACTTCTCACTGGACAGAGGCCACCAACAGCCTGGGAAGCCCTCTAGGGCTTACTGTCAGGCATCAATGCCCTGTGGTTACTCTCAAGCGCAGAGAGAAACAGGGAGCCCTCCACAAACAGGTTTCTATGATAGTCAAGCTGCGCAGGTCCTAGGCCACAGAGCCACACAACTCCTCGTTGGATCTGAGGCCCGGGCACTGTTCTTGTACACCCAAGAACACATTTTTCAGGACAGGTGGGGCAGGGGCAGGACAGATTCTCTGGGCTTTCTGCTTCAGAGGTGCCATCATTGTGTAATGACCCTGTCCTAGGCCTGTGTACAGAGGCTGGGAGCAGAGCTTTGTGCTAATCCATCATTTGCACAGTGGAGTGTTGAAGTGTCCAATTCACGCCTTAACTCCAGACGGCACCAGGGATGTGAGATAAGAGCCAGGTGACGGGCCTCGGTGAGCAAGTCCTGGTTGGTGGGACCTCTGGGACTCTGGTCCTCTTCCGTGGCTTCACTTGTCCTTGGTGGGGGAGTGGCCAGGGGCTTGGAGGTTGGAACTTTGCCTGGGCACTAGAGATGGACCTTGCAGCTGAGGAGGTGAAACTGCCTCCCAACACCTTCTGGAACCTTCTGTATGTAGCCCTGGGAAAGTGTGCTAGTCCCACCTTCTGGCAGGAGTGGCCTGTGAAACCTCGAACACTGGCTCGAGGCTGGCATTTGCTCCCCTCAGAACAGGGGTGTGGAACTCACACCCGTACCCCTTGCTATCTGTCAGATTTCATGAGTGAAGAAGTGTTTGAGAAGAAGCTGGAATTCTGTCATTACCTCAGTAACGAAAATTTTCACAACTTAAAGTTGTGTGTAACTTCCAACTTACAGAAAAACTGTGAACATGGGAAAACAAGGATTCCTGTGGTACTCCACCAAGGCCATCTGCGTGGCTGCCCCCCCACCACCACACACACCATTATCTTCCTTGAGATGTGTTGGGCACAAGCCAGAGACCCGGTGCCCCTTTCCGTGGACCCTACGGTGTGCACTATTTCTGAGAACAAAGACATGCTCTTAAGTGAACATGGCACAAGAAGCAAAATCTAGAAGTAGAGCAGAAGATCACATTACCAGTCCATCTGCAAGCTTATTCCACTTCTTTCAATTGGGCCCATAATGACATTTCCACGCTTTCCCCCTTAATTCGCAGTTTTTGCAATTTAAATGAGGCCTGGAATTTAGACTGGTCTGACCAGCTCCTTCCTCCCAGCCATGGCTGTGGCTGGATTAAGTTGCTTGGAGGAGGGACACCTGCTCACCACCTCCCTGTTTTGTTTAGAAGCCATGCTAAATGGAGGCTAGTATTTCTCAGGGAAGTGTGGTGCTTCTTGTTTTGGTTTCAGTGGATGTCTCCTCAACTCCCACGGGTGTCACTGGTACTGGGCTAGTGGGGAGTGAGGCTCACAGAGGCTCTGCTCCTCCTGGGTTGCTGGGTCTGACCTGAGCACTCGCTGGCCCAGCTCTGAAGGGTGCGTAGGAGATCCTTGGTTTTAACTTAATGAGGCCTAAACCTGAGCCTCCTGCTGCTGCTTGCTCAGCAAGTTTCCCCTGGAGCATGTCTCTGCAGATCTGTCCCTAAGAGCCTGAGTGGCTCTGGGTCCCTACCTTTCTGAGCCTCCTGTCAGGAGAATGAAGTGAAGGAGGGGTGGTTATCCACACTGAAGATGGCAATGGGGTGCCTTTCTGGTGGTGGGAAAATTGTTTTTCACACTAAATTTAAATTAACCTTCCTGGGGTTGGGGATTTAGCTTAGTGGTTCTGCCGTCTTCCTCGCAAGTGCAAGGTTCTGAGTTCAATCCCTGGTACCTAAATAAATAAATAAATAAATAAACCTTCTGACAATTTGCTGTGGCAGGCACTTTTGCTAAGGGCTGACAATGAGACTGGCTTAATGGGCTCATGATCACAAACAGTGACAGGCTCCCCAACCACCTGGCAGAGGTCTCCAGGATAGCTGGCAGAGCTGTAGGAGAAGCTGTCCTTTGGTTGTAAGCTCCCTCAGTTGCTGAGCACTGGGGGAAGGCTCCTTTGTCTCAAAGCCCATTGTGGTGTGGTTGACTCTTGGGGACAGGGGATGTAGAGATCTGGCGTTTCCAGCCAGGCTAGGGGTTTCTTGTGTCATGGGTGGTGTCTCTGAGCCCAGAGGGTGCTCTGATCTCCTCCTGACAGTCCACTTGGGAGGGTGATATTCGAGTTGGTGCTCAGCTGAGCGACTTGTCCCCTCTCAGAGTAAGCAGATAGGACAGGAAAGTTGCGGCTGGGTGGAGCCACTTTCTCCTGCCTCCTGGTCCATTGGGTCTGCCCCAGGGCTTGATGAATCTTGAATGACATCTGAGGTTCCTTTCGGGGGATGAGTCCCAAAGTCCACTGTGTGTCTCAGCTTTGCTAAGTAGATGGCACAGGTGACGCAAGGTAAACACAGTCCCTGATGGGCATGGCCCAACCAAAGCCCACAGGGCACTACTCCTGGCCATTTTATTTGCCCTGGTCCGGACAGCTCCTAAGAAGTAGGAAAGCTGGGCCCTGGGATATGAGATTCCTCATGATGCGGGACCCAGGGGATCTGTCTGAAAAGGCTGTTGAGGCTGTCCTGGGATGGGAATGTGGGCTCGGAGGCTGGGCTTTTGGGGACTTTGTTCATGAGCACAGGGTCAGTAGCTGCGGCTCTTTCCTACCCTCTCTCAAGCTGTAGGGACTGGTGTCTTGGGATCTGCTCTTCCTATGCTTTACTGTGGGTGATTGATTTCTTTTTTCCTTTGTGGTGCAGTGGGTGGAAGCCAGGTCCTCATATACACTGGGCAAGTACTTTACCCAGTGTTTGTGTGTTTGAGCTACATTGCCAACCCTGGCCTTGAACTTTAAGTCCTCCTGCCTCAGCTTCCTGTAGCTGAGAATGCAGGCCTGTGGCCTGTGGTTTATGATCCTAAGACTAGGCTTCTTTTTTTTTGGTACCAGGCATCGAACTTTGGGACCTTGCCCTTGTGAGGCAAGTGGCAGCACCACTAAGCTAAATCCCCAGCCCCAATGCTAGGCTTGGTTATTAAACATTTGCAGTGGTCAGAAGGAAAGCATGAGCTCTACTTGGAGACAGTCAGTGCTGGTCCATGTTGCAGAGACAGCTTTCTTCCTTTGGTGGAGGTGGTGTGGGCTTTAGGACAGGTCATTCTCCTGTGGCGGTGGAATCATTTTCCCTATCTGAGCAATGTGGACAAGGCCAGTGTCCCATTGCTGTGAGCTCCAGAGGGGACGTAAATGAGCATATTTGTGTGCATTCCTTCTGTGTTTGAAAGACAGTCTTGGGTGGTGGGATTGGGTGCTTCTGAGGGAACCGGAGTTGATCCTGAATGTTTTCTGTGAATTGCAGGAAGCTCTTCGTGGGTGGTCTTGATTGGAGCACGACTCAAGGTAGGTGGGCCAGGCCTGGAGTCTGGTCTCTTGTGACCCTCTTGGATCTGTCGAAGCACTGGGTATTGTGTTGGTTTCTGGGATTGGGACTATGTCTGGGAACTGATGGATCAGAGAGGTACTGCATGTTTGCTTTGAAACTGTTAACTTGGTCCTGATCTTTACTGTCAGACCAGGAAAAGTTTTAGACCATGAGCTCTGAGGCAGAACTGTCCCCTGTGGAGTAGAGGGTGCTCTGAATCCAGTAGGGCAGAGTGTGTAGTGAGGTCAGTGTCCTGGATTACAGGTTGCCCTGTGAAGCAGTTACATTTGCTGTCCTGTCTCCCATGAAGGTAGAACTTACGTAACCATTTGCCATGGCTATGATCGTTAGTCCCTTGCTAATTTAGAGGACATAATGCATCTCTGTGAAATTCCCTTGGTCCACTCCCATGTCCCCTGACACCCTTCCGCATTAGTTGCTAAGCCAGGTGACATGTGGGTCATTTCAAACCTTTTCAGGTAAAGTGGATGAGGTGAAAGAGAGAGCGAATAAATGTGTGTGTGCTGGGATGTGGACGAGTGTGACACTCCAGCCATGAGACATATGCTTAATGTTCTGGTCTGTGTTTTTGTTCCTAATCTCTGAGCAGAGACTCTGCGCAGCTACTTTTCCCAGTATGGAGAAGTTGTAGACTGTGTTATTATGAAAGATAAAACAACCAACCAGTCTCGTGGTTTTGGGTTTGTCAAATTTAAAGACCCGAACTGTGTGGGAACAGTGCTGGCCAGCAGACCACACACCTTGGACGGCCGGAATGTAAGTGTGTTGCCTCATGCTCCCCTGCCCTGTCTTTCAGCATAACTCTGTCATTGAACTTTTTTTTGGTACTGGGGATCAAACTCAGCACCTTGCACTTGCAAGGCAGGTGCGGTGGCACTGAGCTACATCCCCGGCCCCCGTCATTGAACTTTAATGTTATAGAGACTGTTTTCATGTGGGGGTTGGTTGAAAGGGTTGCACGGACCACTGGTATTGGATGGGTGTATTAAGCACAGTAGTGATCCAGTTTGTTGAGGAAATGTCTGCTGTTGTGGACAATTTTTTTTAGAGAAAATAGCCTATATTCACCATGGGCTGCTTTGAAACTTCTACAGATTGACCCAAAGCCATGCACACCTCGGGGGATGCAGCCAGAGCGGACACGGCCAAAGGAAGGATGGGTAAGGTCTGAGTAGCCTCTTCATGTGGTGTTTTCTGACCAGGGTTGGGTTTTGTTTTGTTTTATTTGTCCAGTCCTGGGAATTGAACCCATGGCCTTCACACTGAGCTACATTCCCAGTCCTTTTAAAAAATTGCTTATTTTGAGACAAGACTCTCACTAAGTTGCCCAGGTTTGGCTTGAACTTTCAGTTGTCCTGCCTTGGCCTCCCAAAGTATGGGATGACAGGCATGTGCCACCATGCCTGGCTTTCTGACATTTTTTGATAAGAAATTTTTGAAGTACAGAAAAATTGGGAGACTAATATAGCAAATACCTAAATACTGCACTAGATTCATTGGTTAACATTTTGCCAATATCTCTTACGTATTTATGCCCATCTCTCTATACAGATACCAGTCCTAACTAGTTGGGGTACCTTCCCAAAGTCAGAACCCAAGCCCACCATCATTACAGTAAAAGCATCATATGTCTGGTCCTTCCTCACATCTCCAGAATGGTTTCACAGATATCTCTATCTTATGGCCTTCCTTTGCAGACTGCAGGGCAGTTGAGGTCATGTCCTATCTGGCTATTAGCTAAGTCTCTTCATCTTCCTGTCACCAGTGAGATGTGACAGACATATAATAAACTGCCCAGCTTGTTGGCTTTTGACCCATGTGTGCACCTGCGAAACTATCACTGCAGTCATGGTGATAACCAAGTAAGACATACAGTCCTTGTATAGAAAACAAAGGAAGGCCAGGGATTTAGCTCAGTGGTTCTGCCACCTGCCTTGCCAGTGCAAGGTCCCGAGTTCAATCCCCGGTACCAAAAAAAAAAAGAAAATGGAAAACAAAGGAATGGTTAGGAGCAGGGTGGGTTAAGGGGCACCTGGGACCTGGGTCAGAGAGATGGAGCAAGACTGATGTCCTGCCAGACTCTTTAACTGCCTAAACTCTCTGTGGTCCTCTGTGTGACCAGCTCAAAAATGTCTTCCTAGGACCTGGCTTCTCTTGGCCAGCCCTAATTCTTGAAGCCATCTTTTTCTTACCCTTCTAAAATCCTTAGCCTCGAATTACAGAACGGTGTGGAGTCTTGCTGTGCTGCCTAGGCTGGCCTCGAACTCCTGGGCTCAAGTGATCCTCTTGCCTCAGCCTTCCAAGTAGCTGGAACTGCAGGCATATCATCTGTACCCAACTCAAGGAGCTCTGACATTTTGTGGGAGTTGTGGTTCAGAATAATTGAGGCAAGATGTGTGGTGTGCTGTGTGTGGACTTGAAATACAACTTTGCGAAAATGACGTAGATCCCTGTCTCCTTAGGTCTGCAGAGAAGTGGGTCAGTACAGCTCAGTGTTATAGGCTGCTCTTTGGACTTACCAGGTTCCTGGAATGTTTTGGTCTGGCCTTTAGCTGACTTGTAAACCAAGGCAAAGAAGTTATCACCTAGCCAGTGGGAAGCCCTGAAGTCTCCCTGTGCACTGCTAATCTCTTCTCCTTCTCAACACAGCAGAAAGGACCCAGGAGTGATAGCAGTAAATCAAACAAGATCTTTGTTGGTGGAATTCCTCACAACTGTGGTGAGACAGAGCTCAGGGAATACTTCAAGAAATTCGGAGTGGTGAGTTCTTTGAGATGCCAGTGGCACTGGCCAGTCACAGTGCCTCCCCTTGGCCTCATGGAGCCTGAAGGCACAGTGCACATTCCTGGGCACTGGGAGCTCTCTGATGTTCCCAACACCCTGCACCCCATCCTTCCCCCTTGGTGACCATTTTAGAGCCCAGCAAAATATTTCTGTGGCTTTTCAAGCAAGTAGAAGTTAGGCAGGTGGTCTCGTAGATGGCCCTGTAGTTCCCTTGTAACCACCATGTTGTGAAGCAGCAGAGTGGTTTGTGGTGAGATGCTGGTTCGGCCTGGCTATGGAACTGAACCAGCTGTGCCTGCGAAGCTGTGTGGTCCCTCTGTTGTTGGAGGGATTATCTTAGACCAGGTCCATGAGCCCAGCCTTCCTGTGCACTTGAGTTAGTGTCTTCCCTCTCTGATGCCTGTGGGTGTGTTGCTTTTCCTTGTCCATGCATCAGCAGAGTGGTCCATAGCCTGGAAGGGAGCTCACCTGTCCACCAGGCCCCCAGTGTTGCAGGCCATTAGACCTGCTTCCTGCTGGATGTGTTGGCAAAACTCCTGCTGAGTGTGTTTTGTTTTCTGGAAAAGGCTGGGATCCTGTAGAATCTGGAGGGATTTAGACTCATAAGAGTCACACAGGGAAGAACTCGGCACCCTGTGGTGTGGACAGTGAGGAGCCTGGGCTCAGCTATTACTGGGGCTTGGTGTCAGCAAGAGTGTGAGCTGGGGCCATACTATCACCTGAAGGAGGACACTCTCACCTGGCCCTCTGAGGACTGCCCTGCCAGCTCTGGGTGCGGCTTGCGTCTGTCAGGTGTACCAGAGGGTGCTGCAGGTGTGGGCCAGGGGAGAGGGGCGGTGGGCAGAGCAAGCAAGGGATGAGGGGCAGAGCACCAGGCTGCAGCTGACCAGAAGCTGCTACCATTGTCCTGGAGCCCCACAGCTTTTGTGAGAGAGCTGAACATGCTCTTTCTATCCATGTCTCCCTTCCCTTGAGTGTGAGCAGAAGGGTACCTTTGGGGTCCTCTGTTTCCTGTCCCCTGCTAGGACATGCAGCCAGGATCATGGTCCCTTGACCACCTTTAGCAAACCCATGGTCAGGGTTGGCTATATGCACCCTGTGAGCACTGGGCTCCCGCCTCTTCTCAAACTTGAGGCCTATAGAGGCAGCATTTGCCTTGGAACTTTTCAGGCTCAAGCATAGTGTCCCCAGCATTTGTCCCTCAGCTCTGGCTCCTGCTGGAATGAGATATACCCTTGGCATTTGCCCCCATGCAACATCCAGGCCTCATTCCACCCTCTCCTTCCAGGTCACCGAAGTGGTCATGATCTATGACGCAGAGAAGCAGAGGCCTCGAGGTAACGACAGATCTTGTTTGTCCTGACCTGTGCCCCTTCCCCCTCAGATGGCAAACTATCTCACCCCAGACCCAGGCTAGGAGGTCGCTGTAGGGCATTGCTCAGTGAGGTCGAATTGGAGACAAGCTGCCAAAACCTAGGCTACCTGCGCAGCCCCGTTCGGCCCGTCTGCTTGCCCAGGTCAGATGTCACATTGTTTTTGGCTCGTCCTTGTGAAGTTTTTACAGCCAGACATGAATTCCTACATGGTTCCGTTTTCACACGTCTCCTGGAAGAGTGTGGTTCCACAGACCGTGAGCTTCCTGCGCCGTGTTGTTCTTGTCCTTGCCAGCGTGGCCGGTCCCGCTTGCACCTCAGCTGCACCTGCCTGACTCAGCTTGGAACCTGAGCTTTCCTTGCTCCATCCCATGCCTTTTTCTTCCCCTCCCTTGTTTTTTTTTTTTTTTTCTCCTTAGGTCAGAGGGGCCAGGTGGTGGGGAGAGGCACCCCCTTGGGTTCTGCACCATCCACACTTCCTGCCCCACACATCCACACTGGTTTGGGCCGGAGGTTACAGTGCCCACTTTCCTCCCCTTTTTTTGTGGCTGCTGCTGTTTGTTGCTGCCCAGTTTTTGGTTCATCAGCTGCTTTTGAGCCAGCCATACACACAGACCTGGCGGCATGAGGTCTGTGCAGTGGTGCCAAGTCACACGGCCCTTCATGTGCCCCCTGTGCCCCAGGTCAGCAGAGGCAGCCCCTTGGCCCACAGCATGCGCCCGCCATGCTGGAGAATAGTTTGCCATTTGAACTCCATCCTCTTACTCCATGGTTAAGGAATGTATTTCTCACTTCGTGTGATTAAGCCGTTAAGTCTTAGTCTTAATTTAACGTAGACATACATACTTAGTGATGTACTTAAGTGTCTGATAGTAAAATACAGTAATGTTAAGTAAGCTGTTTTTCTTTTTCTCTGTGAATTGTTTGTGATTAACGATATCTTTTTAGATTTCTCTTCTCCAGGTGCTAAATTATATCACACAGGTACAGGCCCGTCCCGCAGTCAGAGGAGGGAGCGGCTTTGCTCCAGTGGGGTGTAAACGAAGTTTCAGTGTGTTTCTGTCCCGCTGCTGCCTCTTGACAGATCGTTCTAGACAGCCCGCCCCGGGCTTCTTCCCCACGACCCACCGCCTCTTGCACTGTTCCCGGACCGAGCCAGCCCTGTGGCTTCAGACACTCCTGCTGTTTGAGAAAATGTCAACTTCTCACATGTTGTCATCACCTATGTTGTGTTCCAAATACTGCCTCCGATCTTGTGAAACCTCAGTGTGCGGAAGCCGAGGGCTGCTCTTGAGTGCCCCTGGTCTCCCTGTGGCCAGGCACAGATGTCTGCCTGCTCTCTCAGCTACCCTCGTGTGGGTGGGACTGGATATAGTTAGTTTTGCAGAGTCCATGGTGGTGGAGTGATGGCAGAAGCTGCCATAGAGAGTTTTGGGGCAGGGATGTGGATCCATGTTCCCTGACCTCAGCCGTCAGGACCAGAAAGGGTAACCCATAGCAGAGGGCAGATCTTGGGTCCTCCCAGACAGCATGCGCTCTTCTTGGTTTCTCTGGATCTTGTAAGACGGATCTGTCTCCTTCCCCTTTTCCTTTCTGCGTCTTGGTTGACTTTAAAATAGTGGATGTGTCCCTGTCTGTGGGACCCCCACTTGTATCTCCACCGTAGACAGTATCGTGTGTGAAAACTCGCACCTCTCGGCGGCCCCACCCAATTGACTCACGCTCGCTCCAGCCTGCTGCCTCTGCTCACCTCACACTCCTCTGGTCTCAGGTTTTATCCCTCCCAGCCTTTGTCTCCTTCCATGTGCTTCACCTTCATGGTTCCACTCTCCCTCCTCTCCTGTCCTGTGCCACATCTGCACGTGCGTGTGCATAGTCATGTTCAGGTACAGCATGTGCACAGAACAGATCAGAAGGCTGTGAGCCCTGGTTCCTTCCCTGGGAATCTTTGTCACCTCAGACTCCTGAGCTGCCCTTTCTTCCCTACTTCTATCCTTTTCCTGCCCACAGTTTTGCTTCCAATTTTTCTACCTGGTGCTTGCTGGCTGGAGCCCCAGCACCCCATTTCATCAGCTTGAGAAGCCCTGTCAACAGGCTGCTCCTTCCTGGGGCCCCCTTACCTGCTCTGACCCTACTCCCTACCTGTAGCCTGTGGCTACCACCTTGTGCCTCTGTCCCATGTACAGTGGCCTCCATTGTGCTGTCCCTCTGCTGTGATGCTTTGTAGCGCACCCTGTACCCCTGCCTCTAGCACAGGTGTCACCCTGTTTCAGCCCTGCTTTCAGCTCTTCCCAGCTCTTCCCTCGTCCGTCTTTGTTCTGAGGTCTTTGGGCAGCCAGATGCTGCCCACTTCTTTGTGCCCAAGTACTGGGCCATCGGGAGGTGCTAGTGTGCATTGGACTGCCTCCCATGCAGGACGAGACACGCCCCATTAGCTGGGCGGCCGCAGTCACCCCAGACCAACTAAACTTCGTTTATACTGCCACTTTCTTGTGTTTGGGAAATGCTAAATTTTTTTTTTCCTTTAAAATTTTCTTTTTTAATTACATGGTGCCTCTTGCTCTTGCTGCTGACAGCAGAATTTGACCTGCTGAACCCCGTTGTGGCCTGTATCTTTGTGTTTTATTTGTTTATTTACTTATTTTATATATATATATATATATACATATAAACATACGTATATCACTCTGGTAGGACTCCGCGGGCTTACCCAACAGTGTTGGATAAGCTTAGCGAGGCACTCCGTGGTAGAAACTGTACTTGGTTAACGCTTTAGAATGATATATGGCTGCTGTCAGCACTAGCTGCAAAGCAAATTGCAAGCCAAGGGGGAGAACCTGGGTTTTCAGAGAAGCAGAGCTACACCCATGCACACATCCTGACTAAGATGACTCTTGATGTTGCCCCCTCTTGCAGGGGTCATTTGCCCTTGTCCCCACAGGCAAGATCCAGGGCAGTGTTGCAGCGCAGGCCTTTGATGTACCAGAACACTTTATTGTCATGGAGGCCTCCTAAGATGTGGCCTCCGGTCCCACATGAGCCTCTGACCCAGCTCCCGGGTCCACTGTTAGGCCCGGGTGGAAACCTCAGTGGCCTGAGTAGGGGAGTGTGGACATCACCATCTAGCCACTATTGAGTCAGCAGCTCTTGGGCAGGAGCCCCAGCCAGGCTGCAGCATGTTCACATAGGCTTAGCTGAAACCCTGGGTTGATCCCTTGGTCCGTCCCTAATACTGTTCATCATCCTGTTTTGTGTCACAACACCCTGCTACCTTGATTCACTCTTCGTCGTTGGCTAGGTTTTGGATTTATTACTTTCGAGGACGAACAATCAGTGGACCAGGCTGTCAACATGCATTTTCACGACATCATGGGCAAAAAAGTGTGTAGTTGTAGTTTTATTTTACCTTAAGACCAAACCAAGTCTTAGGCAACTTAGGGATTTCACTGGAAAGGAAAATTCCTTAGACAGAGGGTCAGACAAGTTCACCCTGTGGTCCCAGCTGTGTGAGATTGGGCCTGGTTCTGCCTTGGGGCTGGGGGTCCCTTCTTTCCCCAGTGGGCTGGCACTCCTGGAACCCTTCCCTGGTGGCCTGGGGATTGGAGTGGGGCTGGGCATGGGGCTGGCCTCCAGTGAGATCGCAGCGTTGCCTCAGGCTTGGTTTCAGCGACCACTCCTTCAGATGTCTGCCCCATCCCCTTTGTGTAATGGCGACTTGTAATGTGATGAGCAAGGGCCTCTAAGAACTGAGGTTCCGCTTAAAACAGAGAAATGCAAAAACATCATGAAGGATTGGTTTTCTAAATTGGGTCACTTACTGTGAAACTCCGGGACCAGCCACATGCTCTCGATAGTACTTAACCACCGTGCAGTCAAGTGACCTCTGGTTGTTTGATCTTCATACTGTGTTGCTGCCACAGAGCTGAGCAGCGATAGGATGCAGGGCTCTCAAGGGTGGGGTTCCTGAGGAGTCAGCGTGAGGGAGTGCCCCATGGGACCCTGCAGCTAAGGCTCAGGGCCCCATCTGAGCAGGACTGCTTTGTGGCCCTCATAAAGTCCACTCAGTATTGTAGATGGTGCTGAGCCGCCTCAGTGGGGGTCTGATAGGGCTTCACTGCTGCGCAGCTCTGGCTCATTAGGGTTTATGCCACAGAGGAAGCCATGACCATGGCTATGGGGCCCCTTGCCCAGTGGTCTGCTGCCTGGTGTCTCTTTACTAGACTCTTGGGTAGCAGCAGAAAGCCGGTGTGATCTTTTCCTGCATATGGGTGACCTAGCATCCCTTGAAGACTTCATGACTTCCTTTTGGCCCTGAGCAGGAATCAAACCTTTTCTGACATTGCTTGAAGATTTCAGCTTGAAATTAGCATGCAGATTGCTAGAGACCAGCAGCTGTGAACTAAGTTCAAAGGATGCTGCCTGCATTATTCAAAGGTCCTGTGACATTGGAAATTTGGAGAAAGCTTGGCCTTGCTGTGTGAAGCAGAAAGGGCTGTATAGTGCACATCCGTGCTCTGTCCCTGGGCGCTTCCTTCCCCTGGTTACTCCCCAGCCATGACTGACCTGGCTGAGGTAATGGGGGTGGGGTGGGTGGGTGAGTGTGTGTGTGTGTGTGTGTGTGTGTGTGTGTGTGTGTGTCTGCTAGACAGACCCTTGGGAGTGTGGCCTGCCCATTGCTGGCTGACCTTCACTAGTCACCACTGGACCCTCAGTGGGGGTTTCTGCTTATAAAGGGCTCAGGTCCCCTGTGGTACCAGGTGACTATCCTGTGTGTGCTAAGAAAGGGTAAAAGAATTATTTTGAGATTACAAGGGCTGCTTTGCTTTGTAAGCAGGAACCAAATTCCCCTAAGGAGTATGTGAAGACTCATTAATTTGAGTCTTTTGAAACGGGTCCCTTGGTCCTGCTGTTGCATTACCCTGAGCTAACAGGATTCTGTTCCCATCATACAGAGTGTCCTTGGGGTGTCGGCAGGTGGGGGACTTTGTGCCTCTGCCAGGCTTCCTGTTTGTTCTTGAACAGGCGGAACCAAAGCAATTCTGAATGCATACTGCCTCCCTCTCCAGTCTGAGACCCCAAGGATTACTCCAGGTGGAATCTTTATTCTTATTAAAATTTACCATAGAAATAAGAAAGATGCAGAATCCTCCAAGCTGAGGCATCCCTGGAACTGGGGGTCCTTTTGTTATTGTCAGTCTGTTCATATTTGAAAGGAGGCAGAAAGGCAGGGTTTGCCCTGCGCTCAGAATAAGTAGGTCAGGCACAGTCAGACCCGTCCCTACCCGTTCCTGCCCCTCCATCCTCAAAAGCTAAGGCCTTGGCCATGCAGGGAGTCTGGGTTCTTGCCGCTAACACAGTATGAAGATTGCTTACTGATTCAAATGTCCATTTTATTGCATGTTTGTTTACTTTTTTTGTTAGATGTAATGTAAGATTCTCTTATCACATCCATTCCCTCTGACATTCCTTTGAGTTAATTGAGATTCTTTAAGCGTTAGCCTGGGAAGGTAAGTCTTTATCTTCCATTAGACATTTTAAATAAAATCTAAGTCAAAATCAACTGTGTTTCTCAGGTATGCGCTAAAGTACAGGGTGTTGGGCTCTGAGTGGTCTAATGGGGGTGAGGCTGGGGAGGTGCTGGTCCCTTGTGTCCCTTGTTTTCAAGAGGCTGCTGAAGGAGGGGACTGCTGCCTTAACTTGGGCGAGACCCAGTGCAGCGCAGACCTCTGAGGGTTCTTGGCTCCTGCTGCTGCCCACAGCGGTGGGGCGCAGGTGTCTTACACTTGTATCTGTTGTACCTGAGAAACATTTTTTTAAGCAAAAAAATTAAAGAGCAAAAAAAAATTTTAAGAAAAAAAAGTACTGGCCTAAATAAGGTTTATAGTTAAGTACTTAGTCTTAAGTTGTAAGATGCTAAGTGTAGTTGTAAGTTACTGAGGGTGTGTCTAAGGGAAGGGGCACTAGGCTGAAGCTGCTCCCTAAACCTCAGCTCGGTTTGTTTAGGTGGAAGTTAAACGGGCTGAACCTCGAGACAGCAAGAGCCAAGCACCAGGGCAGCCGGGCGCCAGCCAATGGGGGAGCCGTGTTGTGCCCAGTGCTGCCAATGGCTGGGCAGGCCAGCCCCCACCCACGTGGCAACAAGGATACGGCCCACAAGGTAAGGCAGTCAGGGCTCTTGTCTTTCCTGGCCAGGAGGACCAGGGTTCCTGGACCTGGGCCTTGGTACAGTAGTTTAGTGGGTGCAGGTGGAGGAGGGCCTGGCCACTGTCCTGGCTCCCGAAGGTACCGGTGTCTCCATGGCTCTCAATAGTGGGACTAACTGGCTTCAGTGCTGCCTGCAATCTGGGCAGCAGGTTGCTGTCAAAAAGAGCTGCAGGAGCGGCTCTTGCCGGTCTGAGTGCATGGTCAGAGGTCAGATGTGGTTCATTTGGCATGGAAAATTCTTCCCTCTGCTGCCCACAGCACAGGCATGGTGGGCAGCGCCTCCAGGGGACTGTGAGGACCTGGTGGGTTTGGATCTTACATTTGCTGTTACCTCTGCCAAGCGGTCTGCCTGACACTGAGTGAGTGGTGGATATTGCAGTGAGTGCCTGGCTGCCCAGGCCTGTGCTCGCCAAGCCTGGGTTCCGGGTGTACATCTTGTCCAGGTCCCTATGTCTATGGGTACCCCCTCACCTCTGATATAGGTCTGTCTGACCTTTGGGTTTCTCAGGGGAACACCCCCAACAGTGAAAATGAGTCTGAGCTGTCTGAATAGCAAGCCATTTTTGTGTTGTGTGTGTTGGTTCTGGAAAGGGAGCTCTGGCCTCACACATGCTTACCACTCACCCCCAGCAGCCTGCCAAACCATTTTCTATGCCCAGCCATTGCAGGTCATGAGCACTTGTCCCTGTGTTCCCGGTTCTTAGGAGTTGGGAGGCATTGGTGTCCTCCTTTGGAACTAGGCTGTCCCCCTTGTCCCCAGTCAGCAAACAGTGCCTACTGAGTGGGAGATGCTTCCAGGTACACTCTGCCAGTGTTCAGGGAGGGCTTTATCTACAAGACAGGTTCTGGCCAGTGCTGCCACCCTGAGGCCTAGGCCACCTGTGTCCCTGAGCCTCAAGAGGGATCAGGGGTCAGCCTCAGCCTGTGGCTATGGCTCCTTAGCACTGAGTACCGGGGACCTGGCACCAACTCTTCTCTTCTGTTTTCTCATCTAGGAATGTGGGTGCCAGCAGGACAGGCAATTGGTGAGTCCTTGTTTATAGAGAAAGGGGAAGAACAGATTGCTACAATCCGTAGGCTGCTGGCAGAGCTCCATCCGGCCCTGCCTTCGGTTGGGAACCCTGTTGGTGGTAGACAGTGTCCTGGAGGTGGTGGTATCCTTCCACTTCCTATGCTAAGGAAGAAGGGAGCAACCAGGCCCCTAGCAGCCCAGGCCAGGTGTGTCTCACGCTCTGCCACTCACCTTGTGCTGTGTTCCAGGTGGCTACGGACCGCCCCCTGCAGGGAGAGGAGCCCCCCCACCGCCCCCTCCGTTTGCCTCCTACATCGTGTCCACCCCTCCTGGCGGCTTTCCCCCTCCTCAGGGCTTCCCACAGGGCTATGGTGCCCCACCGCAGTTCAGTAAGTTTCCTTCAGCCTTTGCCTGCTCTTGCCATAGTGACTGGGCTGTAGGTATGGGCCAGGTCTGTGCATCACATGGCTTTGTCAGGGCTACCTGGGCCCCCTGTCCTTGGCCTGAATGTTCAGTGTGGGGTTAGAGCGCACAGCTTCTGATGCCTTTGGCCCTTATGCCCAAGGTGTTCACAGTCCTACAGGGCTGATCTCCCTTGGCTGCATTCCCTGGAGACAGGATCTGGACATCATGCCTTGTTCTTTAACTGCATGTGAGGATTGTTTGTGGGGGTGAAACCTCAGCTCTTTTCTTTTTTGAGACAAAGTCTCCCTACGTAGTTCAGGCTGGCCTCAAATTTATGGTGATCTTCATGTTTCAGCCTCCTGAGTGCTGGGATTACAGGCGTGGACCATTGTGCCTAGCTTATTTTTGGGTTTTGTTTTGGTACTGGGGATTGAACTCAGGACCTTGCGCTTGTGACACAGGCACGGTACCACTGAGGTAAATCCCTGGCCCTATTTTTGGGTTTGGGTTTTTTTTTGTAATTTCGGGGGTTTTGATTTTTTTTTTGGTTTTTTGAGACAAAGTCTCACTATGTAGTCCAGGCTGGCCTTGAACTTGTGGCAATCCTCCTGCCGTAGCCTCCCAAGTACTGGGATTACAGGCATGTACCACTATGGCCAGCTGAAACTGGAGCTCTTGACTAACTTCCCATATTTTTTTTTTTTTTTTTGGCAGTACTAGGGTTCGAACTGAGGACCTTGAGCTTGCAAGACAGGCTCGGTGCCACTGAGCTAAATCCCAAGCCCTTCCCATATACTTTTCTTACTGGGGATCTGGATTAAAATCTGCCACCATGTTCAGAATGTTAGAGTGCTTTCCTTATGTCCTGCAGGTGTGGGGACACAGGCCCATGCAAATGTCTGTGGGTTTCCTGGTGCCCATTTCAAAGGTAAAGAGAAACAGGAGACTCACCTTACACCTTATACCACATTACACAATGTGGCCGAGAGGCAGGTGGCTCAGGATGGAATTAGTGTGGATGTTGTGCAGTCTTTTTTTTTTGGTACCGGGGACTGGAACTCGGGACCTTGCACTTGCGCGGCAGGTGCCGGAACCACTGAGCTAAATCCCTGGCCCTATGCAGTCTTCTTTTTATATCCAGGGTGTGTCACACACTTAAGGCAAATCACAATTAGGACTGGTCACATTTGGGTCTTCAGAGGCCATTTGTGGCCAGGGCCCGAACTGGGAACTTCAGTTCTGCGGTCTACCACTTGGGAAAAGGTCTCCCGTTTATGTGTAACAAGACATGATCCCTCAGAACCTAAGGCTGTCAGCTCATTCTGCTCAGTCTTTGTCTTGCAGAGTGCTCAGGTACCTCATCTTCCTGCAGTTGTGTTTATGTTGTGTGGGGCGGGAGCTTTCTGTCATTTCTAAAGGATGTCTTGCGATGGAATTCCTCCCTGCTTCAGTACTGTTCAGCATTGCATCCTATGGCTACTGTCTGTCTGGGATGGGCCCAGGAGAGTGGGTCTCCTGCAGATTCTAGGTGGAAATCCTCTCGGACCTGGCTGCACACCACACCTTGTGTTCTGCTCTCCTGTGTTTGCAGGTTTTGGCTACGGGCCTCCACCCCCACCACCTGATCAGTTTGCCCCTCCTGGGGTCCCTCCTCCACCTGCCACTCCTGGGGCAGCACCTCTGGCTTTCCCGCCCCCTCCATCTCAGGCCACCCCAGATATGAGCAAGCCCCCGACAGCCCAGCCGGACTTCCCCTACAGTCAGTATGGTGAGTGCCTTCAGCCTCCCGTGTGGCCCGCCACTCCTGGGAAGTCGCTGGGCCTGCAGGTTTGGGAGCCTGAGGCTGGGCTGTGGGAGGTGGATTCTGCAGTCACTCTCAGGACTCGAAGCCTTCCTGTGTGCTTGATTGAGACTCTTGGTCAGGGCAGGGCCCCAGGCACTCTTCTCTTGGTCATTTTGGTTTCTGGCACCAATAGTTCCCTGTGGGAGGAAGGCTATAGTAGCCCTCGCTGGGCAACAGGCATCGGGGTGGGCTTGGGGCTGGAGGCAGCTTGTCACCGTGTGCATGCTACTTGGATGTGCCCTGAGGGTGAGGGTTTCAGGGGAGTCTGAGTCAGGGCAGCCCCATCTCTGCATGTCTGTCAGTCTTGCCTTGCCTAGAACCCAGTACCAGGGCCTGCCTCATTCAGGACAGATGCAGGGGCTTCATTGCAGGGGCTCTGCACACTGCTGGCTCCTTGGGGAACCTGGGGACACTTGGCATAGATAGGGTCCAAGAGGGTCACTGCCTGTCGCAAGCTGGCCGACCTCAGCCCTGAGAGACTGTGCTGGTCAGCTTGGGTGGATGGATGGTCCTATCATTCCCTACATTGGTTTTTGGGTTTGGCTTTTTTTTTTTTTTCTGGAGTTGGTTTTTTTTTTGGTATCGGGGATCGAGTTCAGGACCTTCTGCTAGCGAGGCAGGCGGTGGAACCACTGAGCTAAATCCCAGGCCCTGAAGTTGGTTTTTTTGCTTGGGGTATTTGAGAGAGAATCCAGGGCCTCTGCACTGAGCTAAATAAATCCTCAGCCCTTTTATTTTTTTTTAATATTGATTGATTGGGGGTTTTTTGGTTTGTTTTGGGTTTTTCTGGTACCGGGGATCGAACTAGGGTCCTTGTGCTTGTGAGGCAGGCAGCGGAACCACTGAGCTAAATTCCCAGCCCCTTGATTGTTTTTTTGTTGTTGTTTTTTTTGGTACCGGAGATCGAACTTGGGTCCTTGTGCTTGTGCAGCAGGCGGTGAAACCACTGAGCTAAATCCCCGGCCCCCTTGATTGGTTTTTTTGAAACAGGGTCTCACTGTGTAGTTCAGTTGGCCTTGAACTCACTATGTAGCCCAGGCTGGCCTCGAACTCATGATGATCCTCCTGCCTTTCCCAAGTGCTGGGATAACAGGTGTATACCACCATACCTGGCTTATTTTTTAATTTTGATATGTTGCCCAGGCCAGCTTGCTAGAGCTTGCCATTTTAGAGTCCTGAGGTGTGTGCACCACACTGGGCTTGACTTTGCCACTGCATAGGCCTGGGTGCTGTGGCTGCAGGGAGCCAGGCACCCATGTAGGGCCTGCTTCTGACTCCTGTGGTTGCCTGGGTCTTGTCTCTTGCCAGGCCTGGGCCTATTCCTTGCTTACTCTAGGGTCAGGCTGAGCAGCTGCCTCTCTCTCCACTGTCCTCCCATCGCCTGCACCCTGGAAGCGGCATCCTCGGCACCTCAGGCGGGATGGATAATGGCAGTGCCCTCAGGATCTCTGCTGGCTCCAGGAGTGTCCAGGGCCGTGTCCACTAGTCCCCCAATTGGGAGCCCAGAGCCTGGGCAGGCCTCCTGGTAGAGCAGAGTCCAAGCCGTCCACATGAAGATGGTTTTTTTGAAGATGGCTCCCTTTCCCAGGAGCGTTTTCCACCCCTGAGATTGGCGGTGTGGGTGTCTGGGTCTTATTTAGGGACAGAGGACCTGCCCAGTGCATATTGTCTCTGTGGCACTGGTTGGTCAGCCATGTTCCCCAAGCCCCGTTATTAACCCACCAAGCTGGCTGCTGATTTGAGATCCCACAGGGCACACCACGTAGGCTCTGGTGCCCAGCCCAGAGATGCACCCATGCCACTCTAGAGGTGCAGGCTACAGGTGCAGGCTATGTCTACCCCATGGGCATGGAAAATGCACATGCGAGTGAGAGCAAATTTTATAGATGCCCTGGGTTGGGTCTCTGTGGCAGCTGGACGGTGTGTTGAAAAGCCAGGCGCTTCACTCACCTTACCTGAGAGCCTCGGGAGGACAGCGGATCACGTGGCCTGTGAAGGATCGGGAAGCCTCTCTTCCTTCTGTGTGGGTCCTGCCCATGAGGGTTTAAAGATGAAACTCCCTGATTTATCTCTCTACAAGTGGCCCCAGCCAGCTGGGTTCTTGGTGCCCTCCTGCCCTGTGGGGCCCTCACACGTCTTGAGTCAAGTCCAGGCTGCCGCCCAAGGGCAGAGCTAACGGGCACGTGGGCCATCGTGGCCCAGAGCTCACAGTGCTCTCTCCCCAGCAGGTTACGGGCAGGACTTGAGTGGCTTTGGACAGGGCTTCTCCGACCCCAGCCAGCAGCCCCCCTCCTATGGGGGTCCCTCTGTTCCTGGCTCAGGGGGCCCCCCCGCCGGTGGCAGTGGCTTCGGACGAGGTCAGAACCATAATGTGCAAGGATTCCACCCCTACCGACGCTAGGGTGGCACCAATTGAACGTCCGCACCGCTGAGCGCAGGATTCGAAACTTGTGAACTCGTGACAATCAAACTTGTCGGAAAAAATAGTGACTCAACCTGGGGGTGGGGGGAGGGCGGAGGCCTGGAGGCGGCTGTGGGTGTCTGGACTGCAGTTTTTAAATACGTTTCTTTCTCTGACCCATCAGCACAATAAAAAAAAAGTCACTGGTTCAACAACAGGGTTTAAAAAAATGTCTTCAGCTTTAATTCAAGACTTCAGGTTTCTTTTCCTTCCTTTTTTTTGAGATTTATTTTCCTGAGCCTTTTGTTTTACCGTATATTGTAAACTTTTATGTTAAAAAATATACATTTACAAATTGTGAGATTTTTAAGAGAAATTTTCTACAATGTATACTGGCTTATTTTTTAATTTAAAACAGGGTTTGGTTGGCACTGGTGGGGGTGGGGGCATTTTTGGTCCCCTCACTCCTGGCTTGGGGGTTGGGACTTGTTGGTCCAGAAACTCTGGGAGCTAAAGAAGAAATCTACTGAGTGTGTTTTTGTTTTTTGTTTATTCCTTGCTTTTGTCAGCTGGCTGCCCGGTGGCATCAGTGGGGCAGGTTGCGCCCTACCAGCCACCTGGCCCATGTAGCAGTGCTGACATTGAGGTGGCATGGACCCCGCGCAGTAGGCGAGGCCTTGCTGGAAGGCCACCTCCCTTGGGCATGTGGCTTCGGGGCACTTCCCATTGACCAGTTTGACCCTGGTTTGAATAAAGACAAGTGCGTTTGGATTAGAAACCCACATCGTGTCCTTCTTTCTCCGTCATCTCACCTGTGCTTCCTCTTCCCTGGATGTGCCAGGGAAGATCTGGAGCCCAGACATGGCCTATACTGTGCTTGTGAGCAGGGCTTGATGAGGCCTGGCTTGTATGGGTTAGGGAGCCTGGGAGTCTGCAGGTGTGAACTATAGGGCAACTGAGGGCCACCCCGAGTTGTGTTTGGGGTGTGTTGTGGTTGGTCCAAGTCCCCCCCCGTAACCAGGAGCCTGGGGCTGGACCAGCCAATGTCACTGTCAGGCCATCTCCCCTCCTCAGGGTCTGGGTCATAGTTTGCTACGGCAAGCAACACAGACAGGGTCTGGGGTTTAGGACAGGGACATCTTCAGAGCATTTTGCTCTGGGAGGAAGACCACAGTCAAGACTTAATTGGGGCTGGGCATTTAGCTCAGTGGTTCCACTGCCTGCCTCACAAGTGCAAGGACCAGAGTTCAATCCCTGGTACCAAAAAAAAAAACTTGCCAGGCATGGTGGCACACAACTGTAAACCCAGCCCTTGGGAGGCCAAGGCAGGAAGATCACTGTAAGTTTGAGGCCAGCCTGGGCTACATAGTTCAAGGCCATCCTGAACTACATAGTAAGACCCTATCTCAGAAAACCAGGGGAAAAAAAAAACAAGACATAGCCAGATTTGGTGGCACACACCTGTAATCTCATCATTTAGGAGGCTGAAGCAAAATTATTGCTTGGAGTTCAAGGCTAGCCTGGACTTTTTTTTTTTGGTACTGGGGATGAAACTCAGGTCCTTGTGCTTGTGCAGCAGGCGGCAAAACCACCAAGCTAAATCCCCGGCCCTTGTTTTTGTTTTTTGAGATAGGGTCTTGCTATTAGTTCAGGCTGGCCTCAAACTCACAGTGATCCTCCTGCCTCAGCCTCCCCAATGCTGGGATTACAGATGTGTGCCACCAGGCCTGGTGAGCCTGGAATTTATAGCAAGACTGTATCTTTGTGGGGGTTTTTTTGTTTTGTTTTGTTTTGGTATCGGGGATAGAACTCAGGACCTTGCTCTTGGCGAGGCAGGCGGCGGAACCACTGAGCTAAATCCGAAGCCTGCAAGACCCTATCTTAAAATTTTAACACAAAACGGCTGGGGATCTAGCTCAGTGGTTCCGGCACCTGCCTCGAAAGCGCAAGGTACTGAGTTCACAGTCTTTGGTACCAAAAAAAAAAAAAAAAAAACCCATGAAATTAGAAACCGGACATGGTGGTGCATGCCTGTAATCCTAGCACTGGGGAAGCTGAGGCAGAAAGATTACCATGAGTTTGAGACCAGCCTGAGCTACACAGTGAGACTTTATCTAAAAAAAACCCCAAAACTAAAGTTTGGTGGGTTAGGCATGGCATCTTAGCAAGAAAAAATGTCCAGCAGGGTGCACACCTGTAACCTGTGCACTCAGGAGACTGAGGCGGGAGGATCACTGCAAGTTTGAGGCCATCCTGGACTACACAGTGAGTCCCTGTCTCAAATAAATACAAAAAGGGCTGGGGATGTAGCTCAGTCCACAAGCTTTGGGTTCAATCTCCAATGACACACAGTGCTGAGGATAGTGGCCGACACCTGTGATCCCAGGTACATGGGAGGTGAGGCAGGCAGATTGCAAAGTTCAAGGCCAGCCTGGGCTGCACAGCAAGACCCTGTCTCAAAATGAAAAAAAAAAATCAAAAAGGGCTGGAGGTGTAGAGTGCTCCTTGAGTTCTGTCCTCTGTACCACACAAATCAAGGGCCAGTAAGTGCCCAAAGTGATGGCCTTCCATGCAGGCGTGACGAGTGAATAAAGCAGCCCACAGCTGCCATCCCCTGCTCGTGTGGGGGACAGGGAAGGTTCGCTGGCTTTGGAGTGAGGTAACAACAGGGTTGCCACCCACACTCCTGGCCAGACTGCTCATGGAGCTGGCCCCAGAACAGCCTTTGTTCCCTCCCCAGCTCCTGCCATTTCAGTTCCAGGTGGGTTGGGTCAAGCAGAATGAGCTCACCCTGAACACCAGGGTGACCACAGTGTAAGCACCAGTCAAGTGTTCTGCAGGAGTCCAGCCCCCTACTGGAGGAACAGTATGAGGAATCAGCACTGTCCTCACAGCATTCTGAAGTGTTGCTCTGTCCACTCAGTTCTCCCCATTCCTTACCCTCCCTGCTTTATCTGGTCCTCTCCCCAGGCTAACAGGGCAACTATTAAACCACCCAAAATAAGATGGGGCGGTCATTCCTGCCCCAGGGCCTTTGCACTTCCCTGTTTGAGATGCCTGCCTCCAGCAGAGCAGCTGACCTCTGTGACCACTGATATTTCTGCCAGCACCCCTGGATGTCACCTACCTTCCCTGTTTGCTCTGCATCGTGAGCCTTTGGTTCCTTTTTTCCTCAGTGCTTCCTTTTGCATCATTAGTTTTCATTGTTTTTCATAAGTCACATAGCAGATGCCCTAGGGCTTACATTGAAATGTGTTTTTTTTAAAATGTGCTAAAATATGGATCAAGTTTATCATCTTCAGGTTTTTTTCAGGCAGTGCCGAGGATTAAACCCAGAACCTTGAGCATGCTAGGCAAACATTCCACCCTCAGTCCACACATTATAAACACTTTATGTACCCTGCTCAGGAGCATTAAGCACATTCACATTGTCAAGTAGCTGTCCCCACCATCCACCTCCAGGACTTTCCCATCTTAAATGGAAACTTTGTCCCCAGGCAATACTTAACTCCCATTCCTGCACCCACAAGTCTACTTCCTGTCCTGGGCGTTTCCTGTCCATTGAGCCCACTCTGTGTCCTCTGTGTGGGGCGTCTCACTGAGCAGGGCGTCCTCAAGATCCGTCCACGCGGTCACAGCCTCGCTCCTTTTGGTGGCTGAGTGATGTTCCAGTATGTTAGATGGACCATGCTGTGTGTATCCACCCATTGATGGACATTTTGGTTGCTTCCACCTGTAGCTTTTGTGAACATGAGTGTACAAATACCTGTTCAAATCTCTCCTCTCAAAGCTGGGTGTGGTGGTACACGCCTGTAATGCTGAGGCCAGAGGATTGTTGTGAATTCAAGGCCAGTCAGGACTACATAGGGAAGCAATCAAGTCCCTCCTTTCAATTGTTTTTTTTCATTCTTTCTGCATATTTCCTAAAGTGGAATTCCTGCCTCATACAGCTCCACTTCTTTTTTTTTTTTTTTTTTAGCTCCACTTCTTAACCTATTGGCCTTCAGATTCACAGTAACAATTCCAGTGAGATAAGGAAATAGCATTCCTTCATAGCTCTAGTAACACTTCCCCTTTTTTTGTGCTTTAAAAATAATTTCTTTTTGGATGGAGTTCTCACAGTGTTGCCCAGACTCAAGCAATCCTGCTGCCTCAGCTTCCCCAATAGCTGGGCTTAGTGCTGCACACCTGGCTAATTATATTATCTATACAGATGACTTCTGTATATATCATGAATCCAGGAACACCTTGTCTTAGTTACTAGGTTTATTTAAATTTATGTCTATTAAACTGGTTGTAGTGGAGCAGAACTGTAATGTCATCACTTGAGAGGCTGAGCCAGGAGGATGGATGCAAGTTTGAGGACAGCCTTAGGTACATAGTGAGTTCAAGGACAGCCTGAGGTATGACTCCAGGCCTTTTCTAAAAAAAAAAAAAAAAAAAAAATTATTAAAGCCTGGCTGGCTCTTTTCAGGAAGGCCAGGGCCCCTCTTATCTTCCTTTTCTCTCAGTTCTTACTCTGCTACAATGTCCATACCACATGGTTCTTTTGTACCTCTCCCATTGGGCCGGAAACCCTGAACCACACTGTCTCACAAACACCATAAATATTTGCTTAGATGAGTATTACTCTGTAGATTACAGAGCACGCACCTGTGTGCTCTGAAACAGCAGTGACGTATGTAGTTTTTTCTTTTTTTGGTCTTTTTTGGGTTTTGGTACAGGGAATCGAACTCAGGGCTTCGCTCTTACCAGGCAGGCGCTGCGCGGCCTAGCTACGTCCCCCTCCCAACTTGCAGTTTTTGTCCAGGCTCAGCCTAACCCAGATAGGAGTCTCTGAGTCCCGCTGCCTGTGGTTTGCCCTCCGGACAGTAGGGGGCGAGCGTCTTCTGCAGGAAGACGGAAGTGTACGCATGATTGAGGGACCGTACTCCCAGGCTGCCTCGTGATAACTGCGCAGGCGCGAGGTGCTGGTCTTTTTCGAAGAACTGGCAAGATGGTGAGTTACGCGCGTCGGAGGTTCTGTGGCAGGCATATCTGGCGCCATCCGAGCTTCTACCATCCTGTGGGGGCCAAGGTTGGGCCCCACAGTTGTGGAGGTCCGCTGCAAACCTCTGGGGCCTCAGATGGGGCCCATGGAGTCGGTCTAGTGGCTATCGGGACCACCCAGGTTGGGGAACGCCTGTCGGACCCAACTGTCCTGGCCGAGTCCCTGTAGCCCAAATCTCATGTGCCTTCCTGTGACGGCCTGGGAGTAGTGTAGTAGTGGGGGCACCTGGGGTGGATCTCTAGCTCCCACTCACCCTCGACCCGCGCTTGTGCAGGCGGAAGTGGAGCAGAAGAAGAAGCGAACCTTCCGCAAGTTTACCTACCGCGGTGTGGATCTCGACCAGCTCCTGGACATGTCCTAGTAAGGGGGCTGGCGGGAAGACGAGGGGCGGGAGAATGAGAAGGTCCTGTCTGGGTTAGCATGGGAGTGTGGGGTGGGATGGCAGCTGTGTGGAGAGTGGGTTCTTCGAAGGAGACCGGGTCGCAGTGGGCTTGGGCCTGGTTTATTTACGTATTTGCGGTAGTGGGGATTGAACCCAGGCCCTTCGCACTGAGTTACATACCTTACACTTTTCGTTTTTAATTTTTGAGACAGTCTGGCTAAATCCCTTTAGTTGTCCAGGTTTGGCTCAAACTGGAGATCCGCCTGGTTCACCTTTTCTGCGAAGGGCCCCGCCGCCAATCTTTTCTGCATTTGGGGTCAGTTTCTGCTGAAGGGCAAAGGCATTCATGGCCAGTCTCCAGAAAGCAAGTGGGTGAGGCTGTGTGCCAGTGAAATTGTTTAGGAGCATTGAGACTTTTTATTTAAATTGAACGTAGTTTGCTTTGACATGTCACCCATTTGGAAATGTAGATTGCCTGGGTATCCCAGGTGTGTTATGAAAACAGGCGAGGTGGCTCATGCAGGTACAGGTGGGTCTGTGGTACCTGGATGGAGGGGAAGGAGGCTTGCTGACAGTCAGTGTAACCTGGTGTCACTTGGAGGGAGAGCTGGCATGAAGGATCCAGCTATCAGGGGCTTCCCCCTCTCCTCCCAGCACTGAGGATTGAACCCAGAGCCTTTGGACTGAGCTAAATCCTCAACCTTTGTATTTTGCTTTGAGATGAGATTTTGCCAAGTCTCCCGGCTGGACTCCAAATCTTACTCCTCCTGCCACATCCTCCCAGAGTGCTAGGATTACAGATGTGCACCACCACATCCTACTTATCTGGAGCTTTTAACAGGCTGCCGTGCCAGGCATGATGAGCCTTGGGCCTTGTGCATGCCAAGTCCACGCTACCACTGAGCTGCACCCAGCCCTATTAATCTTTCAGGCTGGCATTAAACCGATCATGTAGCACAGGCTGCAATCCTGCCTCAGCCTTCTGAGTGCTGGGGTTACAGGTGGGTACCACCAAACCAGACTTTCCCTGGATCCTTTAGTGGACTCTGGCCTGAGGTTGCAACTGCCAAGTTATCACATTGGGGAAACTTGGGTATCTGAGTCTGTTCACTGGTCTATAAACAGCCTCGAGGTGGTTCTAAAAGTGCCAGGAAGGATTCCTCAATACTGAGCAGGGGTGTTGGTATACTGCTGGTGTGGGCATATATTATAGATCTTGGTGCACCGTAGGGGGCAGTGCAAAGTCCACTATAGGCTGTGTCCCTGAGAAGGCCCCTTCCTGGTTCTCTACCTCCTGGGAGTTGAATGGTTCTAATTACCCCAGCCCTCTGTCTTGCCTGCCCCCAGTGAACAGCTGATGCAGCTCTACAGTGCACGGCAGCGACGGCGGCTGAACCGAGGCCTGCGGCGGAAGCAGCACTCACTGCTGAAGCGCCTGCGCAAGGCCAAGAAGGAGGCACCACCCATGGAGAAGCCAGAGGTGGTGAAGACACACCTTCGGGACATGATCATTCTGCCTGAGATGGTGGGCAGCATGGTGGGCGTCTACAATGGCAAGACCTTCAACCAGGTGGAGATCAAGGTATGTGTGGGGCTTGGGTGGGTGGGAGGGCACTGTCTAGGCCAGTCCTTGATTCCAGCCTGTCTTGACCTCCACAGCCTGAGATGATCGGCCACTACCTGGGCGAGTTCTCCATCACCTATAAGCCCGTGAAGCATGGCCGGCCTGGCATCGGGGCCACCCACTCTTCCCGATTCATCCCCCTCAAGTAGCCACCTGGCCAATAAAGGCTCTACTGTCCCCAGTCTTGTGTGCTGCCTGTCCTTGTGGGTGTAAGCTCTGGGAGGGACCTGGGTTGAGGTTCTAGCATGGGACTCGGTGGTGACTGTGGGCCTTCACTCTGTCCTCTGGATGGGGCTGTGCAGATGAAGCAGGTAGGGTGAGCAGCACGACCCATCTGCTAGCCCTAAGGAGCCCCTGTCCCAGTTGTGTGCCTGCCTGGGGCTTCAGGACAGTCCATGGAGTCCCCTGTGCCCCTAGCGGCTATGGTGCACTTGCCCACACCATGGCCATGTGCCGCAGACCAGCTGCAGTCGATGTCAATGTAGGGTAGGAAGGGGGGATGTCCTGGGCCGGCGATGAGAAAAGAACCTTCTCAAGCAATGTTCAGGTTCCCTCTGAGAAGTCTCAGGGTCTGATTTATTTTTATATCTTTAAGCAATAGCTAGGAGGCAATGGGCGGAACATGTTTACATTTTAGGTTGCCTTAGCAATTTCTATTGAAGTAAAGGTTATCTTTTGCTAAACAGTATATTTTTTCTAAGCTGATTCATTTCATTGAACATCATGAATACATTTTTAAAAATTACAATTGTCCCCTTATTTACCCACACCTAAGCAGAACAGAAGGTAACTTAATCAAAATCTCTATATCAGAGGGGGTACAAGTAAGATTTAATCAACTAAATGTCAAACTTGTGGTCGCCAGCTGGCCCTTGAGAAACTGCACAATGGTTAATATAGTTTGCTATTAGCTCTCTATTTTTCTTTACCTCTATTCATCTTAACTAAATGTCATTTGGGTTCATAGTCCATGAGCAGGAGATATTTACAGCACTTTGAGAAATATTGAGTAACTTGCCCCCTTAATGCATTTACCTGTCTTAACTTTCTTTCTTTTTCCCATTTTCCACTATTTATTTCATCCAAAGTCTGTCCTTTCAGTCTCTTCATAAGACCCCTTTAGTAAAAAGAATGTCAGCAATAAGAGGGGGGGTTATAGTAGTGGGGAAATGGGGTTTTAGGAGAGGTTTCTTTAGGAGTGGATGTGGCAATAGAACTAAGAGAAACTGGAATTTGGGGCTTATGAGCCAGATCAGATTTCAATATATCATTGCCAGTTTGCCTCATGGAGAGTTTGTTGTTAGTCACAAACACAAAGACTCCTGTGACCAGAGTAACAATTATAAACATTATGGCAAGAAAAAATAAAACATGAGGGTCCGATGTGTTCCACCCTTTCTTTCCCCAGCTGGAACTTTGTCAAGCAGCATTGGAGGTTGGTTGGGCTTCGCCAGCCATGACCCAGAGTGGGGCCTTCCCTGGACCTTCAGTTGCCCTGGTCAGAGAGGCTTCCAAGGGGCAGGTTCATACCAAACTCCCCAACATACTTGTGACTGGGTTGTCTTTTCTGTAGGTTGAAGACGTGGTGGGCCTCTAGACTTGGGCAGAGCTGTCAGAGCAGCAAGCAGTAGGCTCCCTGATGGGCAGTGGAGAAACAGGATGCCCAGGCTGTGGCCTACGAGAGTGAAAGAGGAGACAGAAGCTGCTCTTGGTGGGCATCCCAGGTGGGCAGAGTTCCTGCTCGCCAGTCCCCCGCTGGCTCTCTAGTTCTCAGCTTCAGCCACATTTGCTCGTGCTGCTCTCATGATTTGGAATCAAGAATTACAAGACTGTTGGTTGTTTCTAATCTTCCTGAAAGGAGTTGGTGCAGCAGAGGAAAGACTCTTGAGGCCAAGACTGGGGGTCCCAGCAGCTCAGGAGGCTGAGGAAGGAGGATCTTGAGTTTTGAGTTTTGCCTGGGATGCTTTAGGAAGACCAAATAAGGACCAGAGGCCTGGGGATTTAACCCAATGGCACCGTGCCTGCCTTGCAAGCACGAGGTCATGAGTTTGATCCCCAGTCCCAAAAAAACCACAAAAAGGCCCAGGGACTCAGAGGCCCCGGGTTCAATCCTCAGTACCGCTCTCCTGTCAGAAAGTTTGGTGAAAGACTAGTGATGCGGGAGATAGGCTGAGCTGGGAACAGCTGGGTCGATGCCCAGTATTCTCAGGGCTCAAACATGGGCAGCAGCTCTGGTGTGGTGTGGGAGTGGGTGATTTAGGCTTTGTGTAAATCCTGTGAGTCACAGCTGCCAGCTGAAATGTGCAGCTGCTCTGGCCAGGGTCCTTTCCGTGGGGCAGCAGAACCTTTGTGACCCAGCTTTCCATACTTGGCAAAAAAAGAATGTGTGGAGGGTTGAGTTAATTTTGTCTGCAGGAGTTTTTTGGTTTTTTTTTTTAATGAAATGACTTTCATGTCTGACTGGCAGAGTTGGGAAGTAGATGCCCAACTCTTTTTTTCTGTTTCTGTTTTTTACAGCAGTGGAGAGGAAGCACGAGTCCTCACATGCTAGGCAAGAAGAGCTCTACCACTCTGAGCTGCACCCCAGTCCTGGAAGCTGTTTATCCTCAACCATTAAGTCACACATGGGGCCACAGCTACTTTGAGCCCCAGGTCCTTGTAAGGAAGCAAAAGATGCCTGTGGTGGTACAGACAGGAGGGCAGAGGGCTCCACCAGGGCAGGCAGAGGACCACATACCACCCGCCTTGGCAAGTAGCCTTGCCGGCGCTTAGGCCGCACTGGGTGCACACTGTCCTGCCTGTGCCACTGAAAACACCCAAGGGAGTTCCCTGTGTTGCAGGCTGCTCCAGGCTACAAGCGGCCTTTCAGCCCTTCACTGGGAGCATTGCAGCTGGTCCCTGCTTGTCCCCTTGTGCTTCATGACAAGGGGGAGTCATTCAAGACCAGGGAAAGAATCCACACTTTTTAAGTACAGAACGTTGTGTTGGGGATGGTTTGTCCTGGGCCCAGCTTGTGCTAGGCTCCCTGGCACCCTCATTCCAGGGGCATTTGGGGTGTCAGGAAAAGAACCGGGACTGTTAATTACCCAGGTTCATGGTGCTGCCTGGCCCACTCAACTGCAGGCCCCGGCCTCTGGTCAGATCCACACCTTTGGTCCTTCCTGAGGCTGCCCCTCTGGTGGCCCACTGGACACACCCGGAACCTGAGTGGGTGTCCCCTCAGCATCTCGGCAGCTGCCTCCAGATCCAGGCCTGGGTCCCACCATATGGAGTAAAAGACACAGGACCCAAATTCTGTGCTATTCAGATTCTCCATGCTAATACTTCATACCTGGCAGGGAAACCTGGCAAACTCAAAATTGGCCATAGAAAGAGTTCCACCCTCAGCCCTCCCACCAGATCCAGGATCCACATCACAACCTGGGTAAATTCTCATCCCCAGACCAGCTCGGGGCCTCTGCCCACTTCCCACCACTCCTCAGGGTACTGGAATTCCCTTACCTGGTCCCTGGCTCCCTCACCTCCCCTTCAGCCCCTGTCATCACCTTCCCTGCTAAGGCAGCACCTTTCTTGTTCCTGGCTTTCCTGACCGCAGAGTTCAGGCTGACGCACCTCCGTGGTCCTCTTCCTGCCTAGCATCTGCCCCAGCAACCTTCCCCAGCCCCTCCCCAGCATACTTCTCTGGCGTCTGGCCCTGCGCCTTCACCCTGGTTGCCGGAGCCCCACGGTCTGTTCTTCCCATGTCCGACAGAGGGCGCTGCTATGCTCTGCCCATAGGTCTCCATAGCTCTTACCTGTCTAGCCAAAAGCCCAAGTCCTGCCGGGGATTTAGCTCAGTGGTTCTGCCACCTGCCTTGCCTGAGTTTGATCTCCGGTACCAAAAACCAAAAAAAGCCCAAGTCCTGAGCTGCCACGTAGCTCACTGGTAGAGCATTATGAAACAACGCCAGGTGTGCTGGCACACTCCTATAATCCTAGCACTCTAGGAGGCTGAGACAGGTGAATCACAAGTTCCAGCCCAGCCTAGGCAACTTAGGAATACCCCGTCTCAAAAAGTACTGGGGATGTAGCTCACGGTAAGAAACTCCTGGGCTCCAATCTCCAGTATTGCTCCCCACCCCACCCATAAAAACCCCAACCCCTCCCCGAAGCCTCAAGGCCCTATATGACCTGGCCAGTGCTTTCCTACAGCTCGGCAATCCCCTTCCTGGTCGTTCAGCCCGACGCCACCAGGTCCATTCAAGTGCGCTTCTCCTCAGAGCCTCCAGGCCAGCAGCCCCGACCTGGCCTTTCCTGCTTGGCTTCCCAGTGGCCCACCGTGCTGTCCTCTTGTTTACTTCGTTTCCCAAGGGCAGAAGTCTTCCCCATTGTTCATTGTACAGGGACCACACACAGTAGGTGCTTAGTACATGGTTAAATGACTCTACCAGCGGTGTCACTCCCATCCGAGCCTGGCAAATAGGCGAGCCGCAAATGTTCGCTGAATGACTAATGAACTTGAGCGCCCGGGCGGATTCCAGAGGCACCAAGCTTCTGCCCAGGAAGTGGCCGTCCACGAGTGCATCGGTCCACGGTGGGGTGGCGCTTTTCTCTGTTCCTCCAAGGCTGCGCCACCAGGCCCCTCTTCCTCCCGCTCCCCACCCCTTGCCAACTCTGAAGCGTCCCCCAGCCCCATGGGAGCATTGCGCCTCGCTCCTGTCTGCACACATGGCCCCTGACCGCTCTTGCACTCTCAGGACCTCGTGCCACCCTGTCCAAGCGAGGCTTCCCCCCACCCCATACACACTCCCTCGCCCCTTTCCGGGAGGAGCCCAGCCTCCGCCCCACCGAGTGACCCCTCCCCGCCCAGCCTTCGCGCAGGCGCAGGGCACCCCGACCGCGGCCCCCACCCCCACTCCGCGGCTGAGGGGCGGGGCGCACGCTGTCCGAGGCGGCCGCCACTCGATGGGGCTCCTGGGGCTCCTGAGCCTGCTGCACTCGGCCTTCTTCGGGGACCAGGTAGGGAGCTGGGTTCCTAGTGGGGGTCGAGGGTCTGGGCCCAGGAGCGGCAGACAGGGTGGGGTCCGGGCCGTGGGAATGGTGACCCCAGTGGCGTGGGGGAGGGCGCACAGGCCAGCGCGCTGAGACTTAAAGGGTAGGGGTTCTGGCTCAGTCGCCCTGGAGATGGTTGCCAGGGAAAACGCGGCGGGATGTTCACAGGGCTGAGAACCCCTCCTCCGCGCTACAGCGACCCCCCACCGCTCGGGTCTGCGCAAGCGCACTGTGCTGGCCCAGCCCTCGGCTTCCGAGCGAGACCCTTAAGCTTCTCTCCACGGTGGGGACACGGACAGGGGCGCACTGAGTCGCATGGGGAACTGCTGTGGGGTGCACGGTGCGGAGGCTCCGCCCTGCACAGGGTGGAGGTGCTGGGCCACGCCCTGCAGCTCTCTAGTCCTCAGTTTCCCCATCTGGGCACCGGCCTAGGGCCCGCTTCGCCGTTCCCTAAAGCTGACATTTCATCATATCCATCCTACCCAACCCGAGCACTTCACCTACCTCCGTAGCCATTCTGAGTCCTGCGGTATAACAGCCCCTATTGAGGGGAAACTGAGGCTGGGGATGCATGGAGAGCCCAAGGTCACTCGGCCTCGAGCAAGCCCAGGGATTGTGCGCAGCAGGGGCAGCTCTTCGAGGACAAATACCGGTGTCTGGGAGCTGTCCGTGGTGCTGATGGGGACGGTCGCTGCCCATTCCCTGCTGAGGAAACTGAGGTCCACCACCGTGTCCCTGCAGTGGCAGGCCCTCCCTGCCAGCAAGAGCCCTACCCTGTCACCCAGCCCTACGTGTCCCTGCGTTTGCATCATAACCTGGTGTCTTTGAGCCTCACTCTGCTCCATACTTTGTGCCAAAGGGGGCCTCCCATTTTTGCCCCCAGCCCCGGAGATCAGAAGAGAATCAATGAAGCAGACCGGGCACCAAGGGCACAGGGATAGCGTGGGGTCTGATAGGAGGCCCAGTGATACTCCTGAATAACCCTTGCAGGCTGGGGTTGGGGATCCCAGGGTGGGGATGGGAAGAAGCCAGCTAAGAGGTGGGAATTCTCAAGGCAGCAGCAGTGGGGGTATGGGGGATCGAAGGGAGAGGGCCTCAGAAGGGGCCCTTAGCAGCACTGTGCAAGGCAGTGGGAGGTCCTTTCTCACATCCTAGAAGTTGGGTCTGGGATTCTTGGGGACCTTGGGGTCCCAAGGCTCTTGCCAGCTTCTGAAATGTCCAGTGATACCCAAGCTTGACTATGGCTCAGGATCTACAATGTCAATAACTGGGGGATGGGACTGTGTCAGGGATGTTCTAAGTGGGACCAAGGGCACCTTGCCTTGGGGTTTTGGCTGCCATATTCCCCCAGCCTGTGAACCATTAACCTTCCAAGCCTTGGCCACATACAGAGAAAGGAGGGAGGGAGGCCCAGCAACACAGGAATTCCAGGAACGTTCTTCCTTCCCCTGACTCAGTTTCCCCATGTATACCAGGATGGGACTGGCTGTTGCACACCTTCCCCTCAAAATCCCCTGCCTGAGAAAGGCCTGAGGAGCTGTGACATTTGAAACAGCAGGGGAAATGAGATTTAGTCCATATGCGGGAGGCAGGGATTGATTAACCCACCACCCAGTGAACAAAACTGGAAACTGAGGCCGGAAAGACAAGCCCAAGGGCACACACGGAGATAAGACAGAGCTGAGAGACCTGGCCTGGGCTCTTGTGAGTCCCTGAGGGGGACCATCTCCCCACCCACCATACCGTGGGATTTGAACCCAAGGCCTTCACATTTAGCTACATCCCCATCCCTTTTGTATTTTGAGACAGTCTTGCTAAATCACCAAGTTGTCCAGCTGGGGCGTAGAACTTGTGATCCTCCTGCCTCACCCTTCCAGGCCTGCAGCACCATACCCAGCTTCCATCCCACTTGGGGGCTTGCCATGGCCATGCCCTCTACCCCTCTACCCCAGGGCTCCACAGACACCCATCTCCTGAGCTCTCACTGATCTTTCCTTGGCCTCGAGCCCTTGTCCCTCCTGGTGCCCGGCCTCTTTTACACCGATGTCTGGCTCTGGAGGCCCCAGATGGTGAGGCCCAGTCCTCTTGAGCCCTGGAATTGCTGTTCCCCCATAGGCACTTGAAGCTCCAAACCCCACAGGAAAGAACACATTTCTCCCTGTGCACTAGGCTGCTTCAGCCTCCACAGTCTCCCCACCCTCATTTTACAGGTGGGAAACTTAGGGGTGAAAGGTCAGTGATTCTCTCTGGCCCCTCAGGTGTTAAATGACAGAGGTAGGTCCCAAACCTATGTCTTCCAGCACTGTCCACCTGCTCTGTCCTGTGACATGTGTTGGCAGCAGAGGAACTGGGCTCTGGGAGTTAAACCCTCAAGTGGTCTCTGGGGACCCATTGGGGACCAGGGACAGCTGGGGATACACTCCTGGGACCACTGGGCCCTCCCTCCTCTGGCTTCCTGTCTGTGAGGGTGGATTTAGTGGTGGGGGATCAGAGACAAGGACCAGATGGAGAGAAACAGGAACTGAGAGGAGAGAAAGATTCGAGGAGGGACAAGAGTCTTAGCTATCAGATGGAGGAGGGTGTGACACTCGCGCGAGGAGACTGGGAGAAAGGAGGAAGGGTCCCCAGGTGTTTCCCAGCATGCGTGCCCCCCCCCCCGCTCTGTTCTGCCCTAATACATCCACACAAGCTGGACTGGACTGGTGGGGAGACTACTGGCCTGACTGCTGCCTCTGCTGTGGACGCCCGCCCCCCCCCCCCCGCGCAAGGATTCTGATGTAATATCCAAGATTTGGTGTTTCATTGAAATTCTGCGAATCCAGTCACAGATTTCAGAGGCCATTTAACGCAGCAGTGGGATGGAGGATACGGGGTCCTGATCCTCGGGGCATCCCCATCCTTCAGGAAGGGTTCATCTACCCTACCCCACACACATTCCGCTCTCGAACCCTCAGCCCCCTCAGCCAGAGCTGAGGCCTGACGCCCCACGGCCGCCGCTGGTCCCCGCCCCGGGCCGCTATTGGCTGTTGCTATGGTAGCAGCCCATCTTCCTGCACCGCCATTGGCCGCCGCGCCTGCATCCCGCATCCCTCATCCTCCCCCGCTCTTGGTGGTTTCTCCCAGCGCCAGGAGAGGCGGTGCCGCCTGGCCTGGCCCGAATCGGGCTTTGTCCGATCCGGAGCTCCTTGCCCGCTCAGCGGAAACCCAGGAGCCCTGGAGGCTGCAACTGCGGCCACCCTGGGCTGGGATTTCGGGTGGGGCCTGCAGAGAAGCTTGGAGGGAGGAGGCCCCAGACCCCCGCCCCATGCCAGCCAGCCCAAGCTGAAAGTAAGTGGGAGTGCGTTCCCTGGGTGAAGGGCAGGGGCAGGGCCTCCAGCCTCTCTTTTCTGCCTCTGTCAGCGTGGTCTCTGTTACTCCAGACTGGGAGCTAGAAGGGAAAGTGACCCCGGAAAGAAGGTGGGTGTCTGTGTCATTGCAGTCAGCCGCACGCACACACCCACTCATGAATTTCATTACCACATCTCTCAGAAATGAGGAGGTGAAGGATGGGCAAGAGAGTCTGTGTGTAGTTTCTGTGTGTCCTGGGAGCCTTGGGGCGCCACTTTCCCTCTCTGTAAAGAGGGAGTTTGGATTAAGGGAAGGAGATGGGCCCCCTTGGGCCTAGCTCTTCACACCTCCTGTGCTGCCCTCCTGTGAAGGTGGCCCCTCATATTCAGTCATGCCCGCCCCTAGTTATTGGTGCTTTTCCTTTGATCACCTCTCAGGAAGGCCTGCTGGGGCTGAGGGGCAGACAGGAAGGCTTCCTGGAGGAAGTCGTATGGTGTGGGATGGCAGGAGTCAGGAAAAGTGCTCTAAGCTGGGGAACCTGTGTGTGCAAAGGCCTGAAGGAAGACAGCAGCCAGTTTCCTGATGAGTCCTTGTGGTGTGGAGGAGTTAGTTCTTACCCTGGGGGCACTAGGGAGCCATGAGAAGTATTTAAGCCCAAGAGCATCTGATTTGTGACTTTCAAAGTTCCTTCTGGCGGTGTAGGAAGAGTAGATGGGGGGGCAGGAAGTGAATGGCCAGAGTCCCCTGGTGAGAAAGGGTGTCGGGGGCTGGGTGAAGGAGGAGAAGTTCATGGTGGTGTTGAGTTGGGGATGCCAGGGTGGAATGAGGAGGAGCCTTGGTACCAGGCTCACTCAGATGGGGACACAGGGGGTGACCACCAAACATGAGGAAGGACGTGGCCACCCCTGGTCAGGATCCCTGAAGGGGAGGAGTTCTGTGTGTGGCCCCCTATCCATCCCAGGCCTGATTCACAGGTGCAACCCTAACTGAGCCTCACTGTGATTAGCACTGGGGTGAAGGCTGTGGTCGCCAGGCTGCCAGCGTCCCCCTCCTGGCCACTCTGCCCTGTGCCCCAGCCACCAAAGCTCCCATCAGCCTTTTGAGATGGGGTGGCGGGGGGAGGGGGGTTGTCCTCATTCCCGAGATGGAGAACAGGAGGTTCTTGTCATGTTCCTGGCACTCTGTGGACCTCTGAGCACCTCTGGGGACAGAGTCTGGGTTCCAATCATGCCTAATCCACTTGCTGAGTAGGCCTGTTCCCCTTGGGACTCAGTTTTCCCCTTGGAAACAGCCTAATGATGGTCCCCAAGACATAAGGACTGTGACATGGAAGAAGGCACAGGAGAAGCAGATTGGGATGCCTGGACCCCTTCCCCTACTCCTCCCCCAGTCCCCGATGTGCCCTAGGAAACACAAGGGTGGGTAGAGGCTTCTGGGGTAAGAGAGGAGCAGGAATGAATGAGGTGAATGAATAAGAGTGGATGGGGAGGAGGAGCATGTGCCTCAGGGGGCAGGGCTGATTTGGGGAGGGGGCTCTGAGGGAGGAGATGGCAGAGGAAAGAGCTGGCTGCCATTGGCGAGCCTCAGACAAAGGCGGAGGGAGGGGTGAGCTCCGATGGAAAGGAACAAAGAGGAAGGGGCTCAGTGCGGGGAGCAGGATGGCTCTGGTGTGCAGGCTAGCTGAGGGAGGAGGTGGCGACCAGCTGGACAGAGAGGAGGCTGGACCTCAGTGAGAAAACACAGCCAGAGGCAGAGGCAGGGATGAGAGGGTCGGACAGGGACCCTGGGATACCCAGGGCTAGCCAAGGACTGACCAGAGAGCGCTGCACCCAGCCACTGGGGGAGGAGGGTGCCGCCGGGCTGCAGGGGGCCCAGGTCCTGTCCCCCTGGGGTGATCATGGTGGGCTGTGGTCTGTCTGTCACACTGTCTGGCTACAAGGGGCTCCTATCATCTCCCCATGGCTTTCTCTCGGTTTTCACAGTGTTCGTATTGTCATCGCTTGGGCTAGCTGGTCATCTGTCCACCTGGCCCCTCTGGCTGTCAGCCTCTGGGAAAGGTCTTTGTCTGTGGCCCTCTGTGCCTGAGAGTGTGACTATGAGCCTGGTGGCCTCAGCTGGCCAGTCCATCCCTGATTTAGATTGTGAGGGTCTCAGATGTCCGTCTGTCTACCTGGATGTCATACAGTGTCCAGGAGGCCAGCAGTGACAGACAGGCATAACGTGCAGTTAGGCATTCTGTGTCCTGCCCCTCTCTCTTGGATTGTCACCATGCATGTCTGTCACTCCATCTGCTTTGCCGTCTGTCTCCCAATTCCCTGGGCAATGTCTGGGATGGCCCATGCTGTACACCACTGCCTGGGATGCAGCCCTGGCATGGAGGGGGCACTGGGGCTTAGGTCCAGCTGCCTACAGGGCAGACCCTGGACTCAAGGCTCTGACCCTGTCGCCCTAGGCGCTGCATGAGCTGAAGATGACGAGCTCAGTGGCCTCCTATGAGCAGCTGGTTCGGCAGGTGGAGGCCTTAAAGGCTGAGAACAGTCACCTGAGGCAGGAGCTTCAGGACAACTCAAGCCACCTGTCCAAGCTGGAGTCCGAGACCTCAGGGATGAAGGTGAGGGAGGTGCAGATGATGGGATATGCACGACAGGTTACAGGGGACCCTGGACCCCAGAGGAGGTTAGGAAGGGCCCCAGGCACCCAGGGGATGGCTGACCCGCAGCGGTGGCCATGCCCATGGCTCTGTGTCCTTCCCGGCCTGAAGGAGGTCCTGAAGCACCTGCAGGGCAAGCTGGAGCAGGAGGCCCACATGCTGGTGTCGTCGGGGCAGACAGAGGTGCTGGAGCAACTGAAGGGTGAGAAACTACCCCTGAGGGAGCTGGGAGCAGGAGGGCAGGCGGGGTGCTGACCTTCACTCTCCCACCCAACCAGCTCTCCAGATGGACATCACCAGCTTGTACAACCTCAAGTTCCAGCCACCGGCCCTGGGGCCTGAGCCTACTGCCCGAACCCCCGAAGGAAGCCCAGTCCATGGCTCTGGGCCCTCCAAGGACAGCTTTGGGGAGCTGAGCAGGGCTACCATCCGGCTCCTGGAGGAACTGGACCGGGAACGGTGAGAGGGCATGGGAACCAGACCCCGGAGGCCCGCCCATAGCTCTACCCCAGCCAGGCTGCCCCCAGCAGTCCCTGCCCAATGATTAGATCATTTGCGTGTGGACCCGCCCACTGAGCTGGCCACGCCCCCTTCCTGTAGCTCCTCTTCAGGCTGGGCTTTCAGCTGGAGGACAAGGAGGGTGAGGGGCATTCCTGGCAGGGGTAAAGGCTCCTGGGAGATGTCCCCAGGGGTCCCCGGCAGGCAGGCAGGCGTCGCTAGGGACAGAGCTGTGTCCCATGCCAGGGCTCAGAATCCAGCCTAGTGCCAGAGAAGCTCAAGGCAGCCTTTGTAAAGAGAGGGACACAGACCAGGAAATCTGGGCCAGCAGATTTCTGGCCAGCAGCAAGAGGCAGGGTCTGGGACCAGCTCAGCTTGGCTGGGTTGTGTGAGGTCAGAGGGAGAATTCAAGAGCAGCCTGGAGTTATGGCTCTGTTCTGCTTTGTGATCTGGATCAGGTCCCCTAACCGCTCCCAGCCCCAGGCTTCTGTTCTATAAAACTGGAATAGGGCTGGATGTGGCATACCTGTGGGAAGGGCTGAGGCAGGAGGATCAGGAGTTCCAGCCTGACCTGGACAGCTTAGTAATTTAGTCAGACTCTTACCAGTTTTGTTTTGTTTTTTTTCAAAGGCTGGGTATGTAGCTCAATGCAAAGGCTCTGGGTTCAATCCCCAGTATGGGGGGGGGGCTCTGTTGCACCTGGGACACCCCGAGCCTGAAGCCTACTCTTTATACACCCAATGGAGATTAACAATCATTAGAGAAATATTAGTCTTTCTCCGAGGACCAGAATTTACAAAAGAATTGCCTTCTTTCCTTTCATTTAATTTGCTGCGTCCCACCCAGTTAATTCCATCCCTTACCCCTACCCCAGTGTTGGGAAAACTAAGGGGGAGACATTACCATACTGTTAATCTTGGCACACAGTAAACACCTGATAGGTGCTTATACAACCAAAATAAACAGCGCACATGCAGCGCAGCCCCCTCTGCCGGGCCGTCCCGCTATCCTGTCCCCGCAGGTGCTTCCTGCTGAGCGAGATCGAGAAAGAGGAGAAGGAGAAGCTCTGGTACTACTCTCAGCTGCAGGGCCTGTCCAAGCGCCTGGACGAGCTGCCTCACGTGGAAACGGTGAGCGCAGGGCTGACAATCCTGCCAAGGACAGGGGCGTGGCAGGGAGGCCCTGGGCGCCCCTCACCGCAGCCCGCCCGCCCTTCCCAGCAGTTCTCCATGCAGATGGACCTGATTCGGCAGCAGCTGGAGTTCGAGGCCCAGCACATCCGCTCGCTCATGGAGGAGCGCTTTGGGACCTCGGACGAGATGGTGCAGCGTGCACAGGTGCAGCGCTGGGCGTGGCCGGGGCGGGGCCACCTGCCCCCTGTGGGCGGGGCCTCGCTCATGGGCGGAGTCTCATGCTGAGAGCGAATTCCCCGGCAGAGATTTCTGAGGGCCGAGTCTGACTCAGGAGGTGCAGTCAGAGCCCAGCTTCTTACCAGGAAGAAGGAGGATTTAGAGCCAGAGGCGGGGTCACACCAGAAAGAAGATGGAGTCAGAGTTAGGGGCGTGACACATCAGGGAGAAGGCAGAGTCAAAACCAGGGGCAGGGGCGGGGCCACCACCCAGGTCTCAGCAAGAGTTTCTCCCTCACAGATCCGAGCTTCGCGCCTGGAGCAAATTGACAAGGAGCTGCTGGAGGCACAGGACCGGGTGCAACAGACTGAGCCTCAGGTGCCAGGGGCCCAAGGGGTGGTGACGGGCTCCAGGCAACTCAGGGACCTCCAGCCCTCCAAAGGGCACAGGAGTCAGTGCACTGGCCCGCCCACTTAGAGGGGAGCAGTCGGCATCCAAATGATAGAATGCTCCCAGACTGAACCCCCAGGCCTGCCACTTTCCCACAGGCCCTACTGGCAGTGAAGTCGGTGCCGGTGGAGGAGGACCCCGAGGCGGAGATCCCCACGCACCCTGAGGATGGTACCCCGCAGCCGGGCAACAGCAAGGTGAGTGAGGGGAGGGGCCTAGCATCCCTGCCAGATGTGGAATGCTCTCCATGCCTGCCTCTTTCTTTCTTAACCATCCCCTCCCTCCCTCCCTTCCTTCTTGGTACTAGGGATTGAGTCCAAGGTCTTTGCACTGAGCTACACTTCCACCCCCTTATTTATTCATTTATTTTGCACGTTTGTTCATTTATAATTGAACAGGCTGGGCTCAAACTTGTGATCTTCCTGCCTCAGCCTCCCAGAATGCTAAGATTCTAGGGGTGTGCCTTCACTCTGGGGTCCCCTGCCTCCATTGAATCTTTCTCCCTCTCCCACCCCGGTCGTGTAGCAGAGCTGCCCGGGAGTGGAGGACACTCCTAGCTTGGGGGCATTGAGGGGATGGGGTTCTCACTCCCTCGCTTCTCCCCGTAGGTGGAGGTGGTATTCTGGCTGCTGTCCATGCTGGCGACGCGTGACCAGGAGGACACGGCCCGCACGCTGTTGGCCATGTCCAGCTCTCCTGAGAGCTGCGTGGCCATGCGCCGTTCAGGCTGCCTGCCGCTGCTGCTGCAGATCCTCCACGGCGCCGAGGCGGGGGCAGGGGGTTGCACAGGAAACCCGGGAGCCCCAGGAGCCAAGGACGCGCGCATGCGGGCCAATGCCGCACTGCACAACATCGTCTTCTCGCAGCCCGACCAGGGCCTGGCTCGCAAAGAGATGCGCGTCCTGCACGTGCTGGAGCAGATCCGAGCGTACTGCGAGACCTGCTGGGACTGGCTGCAGGCCCGAGAGAAGGGGCTGGAGGCGGGCGGCGCCGGCGGCGGTGAGTGCGGGGCGGGGCGCGGCTCTGGGCTGGGGCCGCCGCGAGGTGGGTCAGTAACAACAACCGGCCAGCTGGCGGTGCACCCTCTGTGTGGTGCTATGTCTGAAAGGGGGCCAGATACCAGGGTGACAAAGAAATACTCAGGAGCCACCACCTGTATTTGTACCTGGCAGTTCAGAAAAGGCTTTTTTGGTACCAGGGATCGAACTCTGGACCTTGTGCTTTTGAGGCAGGCAGCGGAACCACTGAGCTAAATCCCCAGCTGGAAAGGTTTTATTTTTTGTTTTTTGAGGCAGGGTCTCATCATGTGATTCAGGCTGGCCTTGAACTTGCCATGTAACCCAGGCTGCCTTGAACTCAGTGATGATCCTCCTGTCTCAGCCTCCCAAGTGCTGGGATCACAATCATGTGTCACCATGCCTGGCCTGCAAAGTTAATAGAGGGCAAAGTCTGAAAGGTGTTGTCCACAGGCCTGCTGAACAAGCAGCCTCTTTCTTGGATTGAGGAGCCATGCGGAAGGGGAGCCATTGCTTTGGGGCTACCTGGGACTCAAGGGCTTGCATAGTTCATGGGATCCTTGCAGGTTCACAGGGTGGACATAGTAGGGATGTGACCTTCTGGGGTCACCCCGGCATAGTTCCCCAGAAGGGAGAGTCTGACTTGGACCCTCTCCCACAGCCCCTGTCCCCATTGAGCCTCAGATCTGCCAGGCCACCTGTGCTGTGATGAAGCTGTCCTTTGATGAGGAATACCGCCGGGCCATGAACGAGCTCGGTGAGTGTCCCCTGCCTCCTCCAGGAGCCTGTGCAGCCTTGCTGCAGCCTTTGACAATGACAGTGTGGGGCAGAGCCTTGGTCATATGTGCTTGTTCACTGGAGGTTGGAGACTGAGGCCCAGAGAGGGATAGAGCCACCCTGGTTCACACAGCACCTGCTGGGCCTTCTGTCCCCATGAGATGCACAGGACCTCTTGGCCCTCACCTTTTAGCCCCAGGTCTCTGGGGCTCATCCTGCTCAGAGCTGGCTTTCAGCAGGAATTGTCCTGTGGCTCAGGACAGGGAGTGGCTAGAGGCCAAGGATAAAGGTAAAAGATCCAATTTAGGGTACAGAATGAGAGCTAGCATGGGTTGGCCTTGTGCAGTGGTAGCCTTGGGGACATTCTGATGTCTTCTCTGTGAATATCAAAGTACTTGAGGGGTTGAGGGTATGGCTCAGCTTGTATGAAGCCCCGGATTCCATCACCAGCATTGCCAAAGAAAGAAAGTAAGTCAGTCTTCCTGGCCTCTGCTGAGGTGGAGAGCAAATTGGAGCAGGTTTTTTGGAGAGGTATTTGGCAGCATCAGACACATGATGAGTGTGTGCACCCTTTGATATCATCCCTTCCATTTACAAGGTGCAGAAAACCAAAGGCAACTACTAATTCAAATAAAATCAGAAAACTGGAAATAACACAAGACTTCAGTGGTAGGGGATCAGCTAAACAGTGACATATGAGGCAATCTTTTTTATTCTCAATAAGCCAGTAGGGGATTCATTGTGTCCCCTTCTGGCCTCAAACATTTGTATGGTGAATATACCTTCCTTTTAGATTATAAAAGAGTAGTTCACAAAGTGGGCTTCCTGGGGGTTCCTGAGATCCTTTGAGAAGGTCCACAGGGCACAAGTGTTTTTTTGTTTTTTGTGTTTTTTTGGTACTGGGGATTGAACTCAGGACCTTGAGGTTGCAAGACAGGCACGTTACGACTGAGCTAAATCCTCGGCCCACAAGTGTTTTGATAGTAATGGCGATGCGACTACTGTTTTTACTCTTCTCTCTTGTACAACAATGTGTTCAGTGGGGTTCTCCTGATGCTCTTCTTCTGAAAACTACTGGGCTGCATAACCTGGGGTTTGAAATTTCCTTTTAATTCCTAGTACCATAAACACCGAGGGTTTATAAACTACGTCAGGAATTACTTAATATGCTCAAAAAAATTTTTTTTGAGACAGGGACTTGTTATGTAGTCCAGGTTGGCCTTGAACTCTCAGCAGTCCTCCTGCCTCAGCCTCCTGAGTGCTCAGATTACATGCCTGGCTCAAAAAATTTTAAGAGTACATAGAGTCTCTGAGGCCAAAATGCTTGCATGATGCTTGGGTCAGACAGTAGGAAGCCACCCTCTTGGTCCTTTAGGACTCTGTGCAGGTGGCCAGTCCCCAGCAACTGGATGTTTCAGTTAGTGCTATCAATAACACTGAAGCCTGCACCCAGTTCAGGGGCTTATTTCCATATTATTATTTTCTTTTCTTTCATATGGGTTCCCTTGAGTGGGATTTCAGATTAAGGAACATAACAACTTTAGAAGCTTCCCCCACTCCTAATTTGAACTACATACGTATCTTTTTTTTTAAAGTTATGATAAAATATATATACCAGAAATGTGCCATTTTAGTTGTTGGTGTACATTAAGCACATTCACATGGTCATGAAGCTGTGTCCATCATGTCTCCAGCACTTCCTCATCTTCCTAAACTGTGCCTCTATTCCCATGAGACACTGACTCCCAGCCCCTCCCAGGCCCGCACCCAGGAGTCCACTTCCTGTCTCTGGAGTCGCCTGTCCTGAGCATTTCCTATCCACAGAGCCCACACTGGGTCCTTTGTGTCTGGCAGCTCTCACTGAGCACGGTGTCCTCACAGTCCATCCACATTGCAGGGAGTGTCACAGCCTCGCTCCTATTTTTGGCCAAGTAATGTCCCAGTATGTGGATGCACCTTGCTGTGTGCATCCTTCCGTCCATTCATGGAAACCTGGCTGTATCCACCTTTTAGTGCTTTTACACATGGCTGGACATATCTCATTTTAGACTTTTTTCTTTTTCCTTTTATCTTTTTTGTTTTTGTTTTTGTTTTTTTTGGTGCCAGGGGTTGAACTCAGGACATTGCATTGGAACCACTGAGCTAAATCCCTGAGCCTCCTTTTATCTTTTTAGTACTTGGGGTGGAACCCAGGGCTTTGGCAGTGAGCTACCTTCCCAGCTCTTTTATGTAATCTTTTGAGACAAGGTCTTGCTAAATTGCCTAGGATAAACCCAAACTTTTGATTCTTCTGCCTCAGCCTCCCAGAATGTTGAGATTACAGGTGTGTGCCACTATGCCTGGCTCATTTTGGGATTTTTTGTTTGTTTTATTTTTTTGAGATGGGGTCTTTCTATGTAGTACAGGTTGGCCTTGAAACCACTATGTAGCAGAGGCTGGCCTTGAACTCATGGTGATCTCCTGCCTCAGCTTCTGGATTGCTGGGATTACAGGTGTGCACCACCATGCCCGGCTCTATAATTTTGGAACTTTTTTTTGGTACTGGGGATGGAACTCCAGACCTTGCGCTTTCGAGGCAGATGGTAGAACCACTGAGCTAAATCCCCAGCCCATTTTGGAACTTTTGATATGAGTTGCTAACTTATTTCTCCAAATGCTGACTGTTCTGCCCCAAGGATAATCACCTCTGCACCTGTCGCCTTCACTCAGCAGAGAAAAGGCTCTGTGTTTAGGTGCGAGATTTTCCCCCTACCTGCAAGGGGCTGTCACCTGCCACTCCAGGTCCATTTACTCCTTTTTAGTTCTTTTTTTTTTTTTTTGGGTACCGGGGATTGAACTCGGGTCCTTGCACTTGTGCAGCAGGTGACAAAACCACTGAGCTAAATCCCCGGCCCCATTTACTCTTTTGTAAAGCAAGAAATTGCTCTTACTGGAGAGTGGAGAGTAGTGGGTGTGCCAGTCACCTCTCTGGAGCTCTTGTGCCCTGTGGACCCTGTTCTACAGATGCAGCTCAGTGTCTGATGGTCTTGGGGCAGGGGCTCCCCAAGGAAGTGGTCTAGGAGTGCAGGGAATGATGCTGCCAAGCAGAACAGGGCCAAGTGTTCAGGTGCAGGCAAAGACCTGCCCTCAGGAGTGAGTGGGCACCCTGGCTGAGGATGGGTGGGGAGGCAGGTGTGGAAGTGGCAGGGAGCAGGACTGTCCTTCCAGAAGGTAGGTCTGAGGGAGGAACGGCATGGGTGAAGGCTGGGGGCAGAGGTAGGGGCTGCAGGGGTGGGGGCAGGGCTACCCGCCAGTCCTAGCCTCCCTGAGTCCCTATAGGTGGTCTGCAAGCGGTGGCGGAACTGCTGCAGGTGGACTACGAGATGCACAAGATGACCCGAGACCCCCTGAACCTTGCCCTGCGCCGCTACACAGGCATGACCCTAACCAACCTCACCTTCGGAGACGTTGCCAACAAGGTGCCAGGGGCAGTGGGTGTGAGGGTCTGCGCTGTTCCCATTCGGGGCTCAAGGGACTGCCCAAGCTTCCTTCCACATCATCCCAACCTCAGAAAGGCCCTGAGAAGTCGGGACAGTCAGTCCTGATTTACAGATAGGCAGACTGAGGCCCAGAGAGGGCCAGGAAGGGAAAGTCTGTGTTGGACTTGCTTGGCCAGTTTGCTTGGCCAAAGCTGGGCCACTGTACCTGCACTCTGAGGACAGCTTTCATGGCAGGGGCCCCTGGTATGTGTGTGTGTGTGTGCGCGCGTGTGTGCATGTCCAGGCCTCAGTTTCCTCCCCTGACTTTTGGGGTGACCCAGATGCCAGCAAGGTGCAGGGCTCCAGGTCTGGGAATCCAGCATTTGGATCTGGAAAGAGGAGGGGTTATCTGCCTATGTGCCTGCCCCACATGCTGTGAGCATGACTGTCCTGTGTCACTCCCAACAGGCCACCCTCTGTGCCCGCCGGGGCTGCATGGAGGCCATCGTGGCCCAGCTGGCATCTGAGAGTGAGGAGCTCCATCAGGTACCTGGGGCAGGGTGCAGAAAGCCTTCTCTCTCAGGTGTCAGAGGCCTCCCCAGGGCTGTGCCTGGCAGCCCAGGTCCCTTGATGGGGGTTAATGGGAGTGTGAGGGTGCCACCCTGTTACACCCACCATCTCCACAGGGCCACGCCCACAGCCACGCCCACCCAACACTGACTCCGCCCTATGCCTAGCCCCACCCCACCCATATTGGCCGGGTCCCTGCCCCATCCCTGACCTGCCCATCCCCCTTGCCTCATCCTTCACCACACCTGACTGCCCACGGAAAGCACACCATTGCTCCGCCCCTCACCTCTCCCCACTACCAACACGTCATGCCCCTCACCCCCCAGGTGGTGTCTAGCATCCTGCGCAACCTGTCCTGGAGAGCAGACATCAACAGCAAGAAAGTGCTTAGGGAGGTCGGCAGTATGACGGCCCTGATGCAGTGTGTCCTTCGGGCCACCAAGGTGGGCACCGGGGATGGCTGGGGATTGGGGGGATCCCAGGCCGCCCAGCACTGACCCCTGCCACCCTGTGCTCAGGAGTCCACCCTGAAGAGCGTGCTTAGCGCCCTGTGGAACCTGTCGGCGCACAGCACGGAGAACAAAGCGGCCATCTGCCAGGTGGACGGTGCGCTCGGCTTCCTGGTGAGCACCCTGACCTACCGCTGTCAGGGCAACTCCCTGGCTGTCATTGAGAGTGGCGGCGGCATCCTTCGCAACGTGTCCAGCCTCATTGCCACGCGCGAGGACTACAGGTCAGCCCGGGCACTGGGTCCTGGGAGTGTGGGTCTGGGGAGGGCAGGCCACACTGCGAATTATCTTCAGAGGAATAGATGTCCTGACTGTCCCCAGGAACTAATTTTTTTTTTATTGTGTAGCCCAGGCTGGCCTCAAACTCCTGGTGATCCTCCTGCCTCAGTCTCCTCACTGCTGGGATGACAGGCAGGCACCCCAATTTTCTAGTCTGAGTATACCTCAAATACTGCCAGGGCTATCCTTATACTAAAATGCTCATTTATTAAATGAAAAATTACTACATGAAGCCAGGTGTGGTGGCACAAGCCTGTTATCCCACCATTCTGGGAGGCTGAGTCAGGAGGATTGAAAGCTCCAGCCCAGCCCGAATTTAGAGACTTTATCAGAATAAAAAATAAAAAGGACTAGAGATGTGGTTCAGTGGGTAAAGCTTAGTTCAACCTGAGTAGTACAAAAAACAAAACAAGGGCCCTGGGGATTTAGCTCAGTGGTGCCACTCCTGCCTGACAAGCTCAAGGTCCTGAGTTCAATTCCCAGTACCGGAAAAAAATGTTAAGTAATATTAAGGAATATTAAGAAAATATTAAGGAATATTAAGGAATGACAAATGTCATTCCTTCTTGTTTAGTAAACAATATTAATAGATAATACTTATTACTTATAAAAACAAAATATGTTTTTCTATAAGTATATCCTACATACTGCATGGGATATACTTATAGTAGATTATTGATTTGTTAAATTTAAAAAGTTACAAATTGGGCTGGGGATTTAGTTTAATGGTTCCACCACCTGCCTTGCAAGTGCAAGGTCCAGAGTTTGATCCCCGGTACCAAAAAATAAAAAATAAAAAGTTACAAATTACTTCTTAGTTGGGTGTGGTGGCACATGCCTACAATTCCAGCACTTGGGAGGCTGAGGCAGGAGGGTGGGTCACCATAAGTTCAAGAGTAGCCTGGGCTACATAGTGAGTTGAAGGCCAGCCTGAACTACAGAGCTGAGGCCCTGTTTAAAAAAAAAAAAGTGGCTGGGGATTTAGCTCAGTGGTTTCGCCACCTGCTGCAGAAGCTCAAGGATCCGACTTTGATCCCTGGTACCAAAATAAATAAATAAATAATAAATAACTTAAGTAATGTTAACAATAAAACATACTTTAATAAAATAAAATATTTAATAAATGTTAATAAGTCAAATGTAGTGGCACATACTTATAACTCCAGTACTTGGGAGGCAGAGGCAGGAGGATCCCCACAATTTTGAGGCCAGCTTGAAGTACACAGCTGGACCCTGTCTCAAAAAAAAGTTAATAAAGGCCAGGGATTTAGCTAAGTGGTTCCACCACCTGCCTTGAAAGCTCAAGGTCCTGAGTTCGTTCCCTGGTACCAAAAAAAAAAAATCCTAATTATAAAAAAAAGTTAATAAATATTACCTATTATTTATGGAAATAAAATTTACTTTTAGTTATGTTAGTATATTCCAAATACTACATATGATATACTTAAATTGTTAATTTAGTCAGGTGCATCTGTAACCCTAATACTTAGGAGGCTTAGGCAGGAGGATTGCAAGTTCCAGCCCATTTTAAGCTACATAGATAGTTCCTGGCCAGCCTGTACTACATGGTGAGACAACATCTCAAAAAGAAAACAAGGAAAAAGGTTTATTAAAAAAGAATGTGTATAAAATTTATGACTAAATAGTATTCATGTAAATAACAGAGAATTTTGTTAAATATTAATAACATGAAAATTTATTTTAGCATAGCATTTCTCAAATATCTCATCAGATATATTTGTACTAAAATTATTTAAGAAAAATACTAAATACTAAGTAATATATATTGTTTATATATAATAAAGTACATGTGTGTGTGTTGGTATTGGGGGATTGAACTTGGAGCTCCAAGCTACATCCAAAGCTTTACTTATTTATTTATTGGTTTCTTGAGACAGTGTCTTGCTATGTAGTTCAAGGTGGCCTTGACCTCCTCCTGCCTCAGGCTTCCAAGTGCTGAAATAACAGCTGTGATTCTATTATCAAAATAATAGAATGCTGAGGCAGGTGGATCATTGTGAGTTCCAGCCAGCCTGGGCTACATAGTGAACTCAAGGCCAGCCTGAACTACATAGTGAGACCCTGTCTCAAAAAGGAAAAAAGAGAAAGAAAACAACAAAGCAAAAGAAAACCAAACCTCAAAATAAAAAGGACTGGGGTGTTGCTAAGTAGTGGAACACTTGTTTAGCATACATGAGCCCTGGGTTCCATCCCCAATATTGTTTAAAAAAAAAAAAGCCCTTTTTTGGGGGGGG